ATAGTTCTTTAGAAGTTCTATAATTCCCGGTTTCGTTCTAAGGGTTGTTCTGGGAACCGGCTTTGACGTTTAGCTCTGCTACGACGGGATTCGTATTGTCGACGGAGGCGATGATCAGGAAATCCTACTCCCGGACTCGTCGCTACGATTTAGAGCCATGATTTTGGTATCGCCTAAAACCGTAGCGTTGTGCATCTCCCTACTCATCTGTGGTTTGGAATGCGCCGTGCAGTCTATAGAATATATTAAACTGGGTTCCTTTTTTCCGCTAAAGATTTTAGATGTAAAAGTACCTGTGTGAGTACCCATATGAATTTTGTCTAGCACTGGTCGGTTTCGGTGCCTGTACTCTGTAGATCTTCCCACGTGTCTCTATATAGATCCGTTTCATGAGATACATCGCTAACTTGTACGAACCCTTAATTCTGGTTTAACACTAGATTGCCTAAGCAAGTCATTTTGACTGCTTTTGAATTTCAATTAAAAAACTAATTATTTAAATAATGACACAGCTTCTTATAATTTTGTGACTTTTTCTACAACATATAAATGGGTTAATTAATCATTGTTGTGGCCCCCCCCCTCCTTCACTTCCGGTATATATATATGTGGGTTATACCTATATTGCCGAAAAGCAGTCATTTTGACTGCTTGGAAAAGACCAGTTCGGCTCTGGATTGGAATAACATGATAACATACAAGTTCATGATAAATTGTCAAAATCGACATCTACTTGATAAGTTGCAGTTGTTCAAAAACTAAAGTTATTGTTATTCGAATCTTTATGCCAGGCCTGGCCACGCGCTTTGTTCCCTTTGAACGCGCTGCAACGTAGTATGATCTCATACTCTAATCGATACGCCTGCGCACGTGTCGACTTTTTATTGTTTTTTTTTTATTGTTAATACTTATTAATAACTTGTTATATGACTGTAAGTGATATAAAATATATTAAAAATTAGTGTTAAACAAATTTCTTTGCGCATTAGTTATTTTTTCACAATGCAGTCATTTCGACTGCTTTCAGGCAATATAGGTATATACTAAGCTCCCGTCTTTCTAGTGTTAATTAGACTAGTTACTGGCACGTATCCCGTCGGGGATAAAGCCATAAGGAAAGGAAGGCGGAAGTAAGACTTGGGGTGGAATAAATACTCTTATAAATCTATTGCGGGGTTCTATTTATTACAGGTTGCCATATACAGTAATACTCTTTCTTGAACTCCTTCGCTGACTTGTTACTCTTTCTGTTCGGGTTACATTTAAGTTGGATGAAGCATCTATGTGGATCGATTACATAAATGAAACATTTACTTAAAAGTTACAAACTGGCGCTACGCAACGAATTGTCGTGCGCCAGAAATTCCAGCAATACCAGCAATACGATTAGTAGACGTTTATAAACGTTCATTGATCAATGTATAATTATATGATATAATTCATTGTAATACACGAAACAGCATTGTCATTTAATTGGCCAATTAAATTTTCCATATATTGTATCATGATGTGTATTAGAACCTCACTGTATGTTATTCTGGACGTTAATATTATATATATTGTAGAACATTAGTTTTATTTTTCCAGCAAAACACCGACGAACATCTCTTTTTTAAAGGAATCGACGTTATACTTCCATGTAACATTTACTTTTTCAAAATATATATATATATAATTTATTTTTTTTTTCATTTTTACGTTAAATTCCTCACGTTACTTCCCTGATAATCAGCTACATTATTTCCCTACACACTCATGCGTATCCCTGAGCCCCTGTTACGTATATGGAAGAACAGGGGACTTCTGTATGCCCTTTTTCAAAAAGGAAAGAGAAAAACCAGAAAGAAGCACGACAATTTTACAGTCAATCTGTCTACTATCTGATATTAATGACAGCGAACGACTGTGCATGGCGGAATACCCCTGCGTCGTAATAGCCGTAAGTTTTTTGTCGCACTTTCAAATCTCTGCTTTTTCTCCTATCCCTTTTTCTTTGTCATCGTTTCGTCTTTTTCTTTTTTTTTTCATGATACGCACGCGTCTCCCTGTCTTTCTCTATCTTAGTACCGCTTAAAACTCAGTCTTCCCGTCTCCGACACAGAAAAATCCCATTCTTTTTTTCTTTTTGTATACACAACAGTTACAATGTTATTTGTTTATCGTAATATATTAATGATCTGCATTGGCGTCTCATCACATCTACCTTAATCATAAAAATATATTTTCAAACATTCCCAAAATAGTTGATTGCATAAATCAATATAGCCTCGACCGAACGATTTGTCTTTGCGCACGTCCGGTCGTTTTCCTTCTACCCGTAAATGGAGGCCATCAGAAATACAAGGCGTCACTGTAGAAATAACAGTGAGTCTCCACGATAAAACGTGGCGATAGATATGCTGTGAATATTGACCAAAATTCATATGGGTTTTCCCCATTGAGGTGATTTCTCGCTTTGTATACTGATATTGGCACATTAGCGCTATTATCATTCTTCAATAAACTACTCGAAAGTAGTTTCTTGCTGTTGGCTCATTTTTCAAAAATTGAGGGCGCAATCGTAACCCCTCGCAACATCTTTACTTTTTTTAAAATGTAATTACTACATGTATGTGCTATGACACTAATGACAGCCATCGCTAATCCTATTCCACAATTATTTCCTTCAGTTTCTTAATTCTATTATACGTTGATTATAACGATGACAATTTTCACATATTTTACGGAAATATATCGCTTTTATATGCGTGCCATTTAGACATATATGTATATATAATCGTACGTTGATTCATTTACTGTTATCACATATACACAGCAAGACAGAGAATACGATAAGACGAATAAAGGGCTATTAATATATAGAGTATATTCTGTAATTGAACCACAGTTGTGACATTAAATTTCAGGCGCCTATTGTTGTCCAAAGCTTGAAATCGATTGATTTTTATTATCAGTCGAAGTCAATCGATGGAATTCACTGAAATTTAATAATCGCAACCGAGGTTCAATTATGTAATTTGCGTTTAAACATTATCAATAAATTTCTCTTTCTGGCCGTATTGATTAATTACGGACCATAAACATTACAAGAATATTTCTATGGAAAGTTACAATTTTTCAAAATATTGTTATACATCTCATGTTACCTTATTATTCCGTCCGCCATAGTGACAAGCGTTTTCGTCGATTCGATATTATTTCAGCCATTTGCCTGTCAGCCCACCGTGCATCCAGTAGTATCATTTCCTTGAATCGTTCGTGGGCTCAAAACGTCGCGGAACCGGATATCGAAGTACTAGAGCACTGTCGGCTGATATGATTGGCAAAGCGTTGTCACAGTGATGATTCACTAAATGGCTTACGTTATCGAAAACGCGGTCCTTTGTGCGGACCTGTCAATACCGCAGACCAATATAGATGAAAAATGCCAATAGAATGCATTCAATAAAATTCAATTACTTTGTGGATTTGCGGAAAAAATAAAAGTATTACTCACGATGCCTTCTGGGTCGATCAATAGCAAATGCTTTGGAGTTCCACTGTTCATTCCAGTCAGTACATACTGTCCTGGTGAACCTTGGGATTCCCTTACCAAAAAATCTCCATCCTTGAGGTAAAAATTGTTTTTAAAAATTTGTCCTTTGAATATGGATATCTGTAAGTTCTTCCAGCACTTACCCTTGTAAGCATAGACTCCGCTTCGAAACGGCTAACGCATCCGTGGAACCAGACTTCCTGTTTCAGCTGGTACCTTTGAGATCTTAGGCTTAAATTATTGAATTCCGGCATCGTTTCGTTAAACGGCTCTGCAGGAAAATAACAAAATAACTGAAACATACGCGTTAGCGTATGTGACCTCGTTTACGAATATTATAGACATATACTCACGCATGTCGAACGCATCAAAAAATGACATTGGCTCCCGGCGATTTTCGCGTGTCGCCGCAATCACAGTGTCATTCACATAATTGTGTTCAGCCATTGGATTAAAATTGGGCGCGGTATCATCAGAATTTAAATCAATCAAATTTCCAATCTCTATGGTACCAAGGAAAACCAATTACCTCCGGACTCCCGCTTGTCAAGTGCAGATACGAACCGTATTACTAAATGTGCTTTAGCGATTTACCTGGACAATGCACGGCCTGCCTATCTCCGATAACGGGTTGTGGATCAGGAAGCGACGTGGTCTGAACGCTAGTTCCGGGAACCTGATTTTGATTCAAATAGTGATGTTTGAGGGATGGCAACGTAGAAGCGGTTATTGGCAAGGGAGGTACGGGCGGCGGCCCGATATCAGGAGGTACTTTACCAGGCAGATCATTGTAATAATCCCTATCGGCATCTCGCATACCATTTAATGAGGGGCTGGTGGAGCATAACGAACACAACTAATAGTAATCCATCAAACACACATGGAATTAATTTAACGAAGAGACTTACTGATAAATGGGAGGTTTTGTAAGGAATTCCTTGAATCTTAGTTCAAATGCCTGGCCAACGGTAGAGATTACATCCTGCGCTAAGCCACCACCACACTCTAGAACGTAGCAAGCACGCCATTCATGCACATCCTTTGCGACGTAAGCCACAAAGTCTAGCGTTTCCTAGTGAATTAATACAATATTACGAGATGCGACATTGGCGTCCTATTAAATGGAATATACAGAGTATTATAATAAGCTACTTACAGTGTCTCCACCAGAAGCAAATGATATACGGGGCATGTCATGTTTTGCTATTACTTTTCCGCCTTCCAGAGCTGTTAACGTTAAACTGCAGCTACTAATGGTCAGATTTATATTAGTGCCCGCGTGTTCCATGCACGGCTTATCCGATATTGACCTTAAAACTTTTCTGTCCACCTAAATATCGGAAAAAATAAAAAAAAAATTACAAAACTACACTTTTTAAATATATATATATTTTTTTTTCCACAAAAATAGCACCAACCCTCCTCTTTTTGTCTGCAGTTTTTAATCCTGCGGCTTCACATACCCTATTAATGCATTCTCTGTAAAATAAGTTGAAAATAGAGATGGAAAAAATATATCTAGCTTCTTCTTTCTTTTTCGCATGTTCGTTATATAGTGATATGATTTTTTTACTTGGCTACCGAGGACCTTGTTTCAAAATCCAAACTTTTCATAGAAGTGTAGACCTCTAGGCATCCAATGTACTGTAAACAGTAAGGGGTTTATAGTAAAAAAAAAACATGCACACTTTGCAGTGTAAAGAAATAAATTTGTCAATGCCTACTCTAACAGCATATGTTACTCCTTCCTTGGTCAGCAAATGATCGGGATGTAACCATCCTCTTAGTGGCTTACTTATGAAACTGGCACCACTACCAGTAAACATTTCTAAACAAGTAAGAAAATAAATGGCAAAGTAAATAATCCAAAGAGTATTATAATTACTTTATATAAACTATAACAGAGGTATTAAAAAGAAATTGTATACTGACAACATTATATCTAACAGAAAGGTAGCCTATGATTGTGGAGCCTGTCATTTATGTATAAGTTCTTGTTACATGATTCAGAGTAAATCTGACTAAGCTTGAAAGAATGCAACATTAGCATAACATTAAAGGTGAAGGAACAATCTTATAGCATAAAATGATAAAGGAGTTCCTATGTAAATCTAGACATCATGAATAATATTTATACTAGCCACATGACCAACAAAATACACACAACAATTTTGACTGTTACACATATTACAGACTGCTGGATATGGAGTAGAAGATAAAATCAACTAGTGAATATTTTCAGTTATTACTCATTGACATTAATTGAAGAAGCACTGACTACTTGTTCGATGTGAATATCAGTTATGAGTGATATCTGAAATGTCTACGAAGAAGTAAAAGACTGGAATACAGAAATGATTAAAACGCTTCAAATTTTATCTTACCTCTCTTCTTATAAATTGTCACTTATCAGTATAATCTCACAGCTTCAATGCACTTTGAATCGCGAAGTACTGCCGACTGTTTTCAACAATTTGATACGTTCTGGAGTACTTTGACAGCTGATCCGTCCACTCCGTATGCTCGGCTCGTAATCAATGTTTCAAACGTGGAACGTGCTACATATAAACCCTCCGGAGGCTGGCAGTGCTCATGCGCGCCATTAAGGAACTAACTGTAAACTGCTTTGCTAAATATATCACACTCCAATTAGTACGTTTCCCATCCAGGCAGATAATTATCACGAGTAGTTTCGACATAAAAAGAGAAGCACTGCCATGGATTATTTCTCTCAAAGGTGAAAAGATGATTGAGCACTCTTCTTGCTTTGATAGAACTTAAAGCTCGTATTGTAATGCGAGATGCTCAGTTACCCTGAGCGTGTTTTGTGAATTCATGTTGATATAGATTGAACGCCCAGTCTTCAGTGCCATCTTTGTAGCGACTTTGAACACATCTTCTTGTTCTTGGCAGCATGTTACCTATTGGTGGTATTATCGATAGCTAGAACGTTTCAATTTTTAATTGTAACATGTGGCCAAGTTCATTATCCATTCTTGACAGATTGTATCGAAGTTTACAATTAAAAGATATCAACTGTAATACAATTCCAATTATTTATTAGAAAAATGTCATTGAAATCGAAAAAAGCATTAGAGGCTCAATCTATGATACATCATCCTGATCCGATACAATCCGTTCTGTGGCCACAATGGCTGGATTCTGAGTTAAACACAGAGAAGTGGGAGAGTCCAAAAAGTACCTCAATTCAAAGATATACTTACGCCGTTTTTAACCCGTTTAAATTTAAATCTCTATAGATGGTCCAGATGGAAAATTTCAAGACACGCAACCGGTGATAATGCCAGCATCCTTGAAACCGCATGCCTGGGAAAGAGCAACAAAATTGACAGGATTAACAGTTAGTTTTTCTTCTTAGGAAAGACTAAAAAAATATACCAGACTATACCAACCGTAATATGAATTCGTACTCAGGATGCGCCAGTCGTCTACGTACCCACAGTGGATTTTCCAGACTTTATTGAGAATAACAAGCATATCCTTCATAGCGAAGTATCCACAAGTTTATCGTGACTTACTACTTATAGTTTTATAATAATATGTATTACGCGCCTATTTATTAATATTTATTGCTTCTTTTGTCACGCAGTTTGTTAGATGGTTCGTATCGACGATGATCAATCTTCAGCATTGTGGCCGCGATGGTTTACAAGTTGCCGAAGAATCAAATAATTTTGTATGGCTCGGCAGTGCTTTAACTTGGCAGGGCTGGCTGTATGTTTATTCTTTAAACAAAGCCGGAAAATCCGCTCATCATCGTCCGATGTTTAATCCCCACGGTGATTAAAAATGCACTTTGACCCATAAGGATCTTCATCGAGGACTAATATATCGATGAAAAACATTGAAACAGGCAAATACGTTGTACGATTATTTTACATGGGATTTTGGCGACGTTTCTTGATAGACGACATGATCCCCGTTGATAACGGTGGAAACGTACTTTTACCACGTACGGGAAACAATTTCGAATTATGGCCAATGATATTGTCCAAAGCTTTATTAAAAATAGCTTCAATGTCCTGGACGACGAATAACGAAGTACTAGACTTTCAGCCAGTGGCATGTTTTACCGGTAAATTTGAAAATGTATAAATTTTCAAATTTTCCTTCAACACTTTCTATAGTGTAAAACAAGACCTCTCTATTTACAGGATGGATTGGTCTATCTCTGGATACATCCCATTTGTCTCCAATGGACAAATGGGAGTTTTTAACCAAGTACGCCCAGCATTTCGAGTGGCCCGTTCAGGAACCCGACAAAAACACCGATATATCAACCACAAAGAAAGCAACGGTATCGAAAAGAGCCAAGCCAAGAGTAAAAAGTATAAACGCACTCGAAAATCCGTCACCCGTCGTTCTTTTCGCGACACTGACTGACATGCGAGACGTTGCGGCTTTAAATGTCCCAGGAATAGCACCCTGTTGGAGCCACCCAGTATATATTGAATTGTCCCGGGACATCCCACTGGATCCGACGGAAGTAATACACCCATTAAAAAGATAATAATAGCTGTTTCAGCTATTTTGTTTCTCTCACGCTCTCGACGCGACAAGCAATCGATATTGTACTGTAGAAAAGCAGGGGGGTGGGCGGGGGTAGATGGCAAAGGTGGAGAAGTAGGGCAGCCAGAGAATGGGTGGGTGAGGGGGTCGAAGTTAAAATTGACTGGGGGAGGGAAAGAAAAAGTTGTAGAAAAATGAAAAAAGAGAGAAAGTGTTAGTCACAGGTCGCAGGAAATTGACGAGAGTAAATTCCTTGAAGGTAAAGCCTCCGTTGGCCAAGTGGAAATTATACCGTTGGCTAAACTGGTCCATTCGTCACGGCCTAATCGACGCGGCGGAGTACTTCGTCCCGATACGCTGTTTAAAGATGGTCAGTCCCCTGAGGGAATGCAAGGAAAGTTTAATTTACACCTACGAGTCCGATAGAAGTGCGAAAGGCGAGAGGATGGAGGAACCGGAAGTGAGGAACGTCGTGAAGACTCGTGGCAAGGTGGCGGCTGATCTGTCGCCGGTTCAAATTTTGAACGATAAGGGATCTGTGCCTGATATCAGTTTATGGGGTGACTTTAATAAGATGACGTCGTACATTATGGAAATTCAGCTGTTCTATAAGTCTTGGCACTTTTCGTATTTCGCGCGCATTTCTAATATACTGCCGGATGTGCAGGACGATGAGAAAATGAGAACCGGAAGTAGGGACACCAAGAAGGCTTCCAGGGATACCAGGAAGGAGGTTAAGACTGATGTGAAAATATTTTTGGATTCGCTCAAATGGCGGCATGATTTGTCAAAATCTCGAAACGAACCTTTGTATTTATTTATGGATTCTCTGGAGGTTAAATTTTTACTTTTGACTTTTACCGCCATGCAAGCTTATCCGCCGCCGTCGGATCCCGACAGAGTGAATTTTTCGTATTTAATCGTGGAAAAGGCTAATTTCTTTAAGAGAACCGCCGGAAACGATCCTTTGGCTATTATCAGGACTTCCGGTACTGGTTCTACCGTCTTGGAAGTTGACCCTGGACGACATATTTTTCGAATTTTTATTCGCTCGGAATTTTCATACTTTTTGACTATATCGTCAGACACCATCTTTCATATTGGAAATCGGCTGAAGATATTTGACCTAATGACCAAGGAATCCGAAAGACTGGATGATCTGGCAAGAAAAACATTTATCGGAACCATCAACGCGTTTCAAGTATTCGGGCAAGTTGATTATCGAGAAAAATTAAAGAATTTCTATAAAATGTACATGCCGCAAGACGACGATAGGACAACCACAGAATTTAACGTTTCCCTGAAAAAATCGATACACTATTTTTTCCTCGAAGAACTTCACAAAGCAGTAGAGAGAAATCTAACGGAGGATCTTATCGGCGCCCAAAGAGCCCTGAGAATATTTTTCCTCGATCCTGACGTAGGAATGAAAATTTATTCCGAAGAATCAAAAGTATCGTTCGACGGTTTCTCGAGTTCGCCGCGAGATGGATTCTCCAAAGAGAAAATTGCGCATGGTTCGAAAGAACAGGAAATCGAGGAGCAGGAATTCATCCCGGTGGATTACGACAGGGCTGCCACCATAATTCAATCCTTCTTCCGTATGATCCTTGTCAGATCCTACAAAAAGAAACACGATCCTAAGCATAAGGAGCATTTCCATATCCTGGATGATCTCGGGAGGATCGTCGAGTCGTTGGATTATGCAAAAAAAGAATCGATATGGCATCAGCTCATCAGAGACACGATTAACAGAGATAATAGATTTAAAAGTTGGTATCCCTGCTCAGAAGATTTTCAACATGTCCTGTCGATCCAGGAGTGCAAGGGAATCATGATGAACGTCACGCAGGACCAATGGGTCCCCATAGTACGCCTCGTAGTAAACCCCGCCAAATTTGAATCGGTCTTTCCAAATTTGAATCTCTTCGCCAATCTACCGAATTACACTCTGCGCGTATTTAATAACGATACTGGACGTGAATTAGAAAAAATTATAAACAACGTAGTGCCGATGCATTATAAGCATACGAAATACGGTTATACAATTTTTGGATACGGTTGGAGTGGAAATTCAAAATTCAAAGAATTCAATTGGACACTGAAAATTATAACTATGAAAGGCGAATCCATATTTTATACGGTGAACGACGATCCCGAGCCGATTTCTGATAAAATACAAATTCCAAATTTGTGGCTGGCTGAAGTGTCCAACAATTACATTCCCAATACAGGAAAGTTAATAGGGAGATGGATAATTGAAGCTAAAATAAAAAGTATCGTCTCCTTTCGACTGGTCACTTCTTATGAAATGGTAGAAATAAAATTTCGCGTGATAAATCAAAAAGGTTACATTATGTCAGAGAGTACAGGCACTTCCGTTGTGATATTACCACACGTGTTTTTATTCCAAGATTTCGAGGAATTATCCAAGGAAGAAAGTGTCACGAGAATTACACCACCGGAAGTAGAAAAATATTATTTGGAAGCCTATGTACTAAATGATTCGTGGCCTTTGACAGAGACCGAATGGTCAGTGGCGAAGCACGTCAAGAGACGTAACACAGTCTATGCCTGGAAAAGCCTCAGAGTGTCGTCATTAGGCGGAGTTAAACTGTCCAAATCGGATTTGTCAAAGCTGAAGCAAATTTCAAAAAAAGGCTCAGACGTTTTGTACATCCCCGAAAAGCCATATTGGGTCTTACAGACTGTCAGCGACGTTGGCAGTGGCGTAAACGTAATATATATTTAATTTTAATAGTAAATCAGTTGCACGACGTCACTGCATGATCCATTGGTTGTAATCTCTTTTGGAAATTCCAGGTGGAAGAAGATAAAAAGAAAGAAGAGGAATTGGCAAAGGTGAAGGCATCTTGGGAAAAGAACAAGCCTGGAAGACTTCAGCGTGGCAAGACGTTGAGAGAAAACTTTTTAAATGACAATTGCCTAGTAATATCTGCGTCGATAATGTCACAGCCTGCAGTGTCGACCTCGCCGAGTGGTCACGCTGTGCCAAAAAGTCGTTCAGTCAGTCACACAGATGGATCCTGGTTTCCATTGTTCAAGACAGTTGAAAACAGAACGCTAACGCCACCACCGGATATTCACAAGTTTCTGCCAAAATTGGATCTCAGTATTTATGTTAATAAGGAAGACGAGGAGGAGAATCGTTGGTTGAAAACCGATTGCGACGAAGAGATGCTGCGTAATTTGAGACTGATAGACTTCTTCGACTTTAAACAATCTCAGGCAGTCTTCTGGGAGGAAATGGAGGATTTGTTGAAGGGACAGGAAGACCGGAATTCTTCGCTTTTGCATTATTATCACGGCCGACTCGAAGAAAGAAGAAATCTGATGAACGAGGCTTACGCCAAGAGATTGGCATACTTTGCGGAAGCAAATAAAATGCAGATGAGTAAAGTCAAAGGAAGTAAAAAGAAGAAAAAATTATGATTTAACGGAAATTACTATATGGTTGTTAAATGTAACTTTTTTTTGTTTATTATTAACAATAGAGGATATAATTGATGAATTTTTTGGAAATTTTGCCCATAAAACTACTTGAGTTATGCTGTCTGCATACATTATGTGTCAGTAAATTTTATGAGGTGGATCTTTTAGGCAGCATTCTTAATTTCATTGGAATTCGATATTAAAAAAAGATTGCACGACAGTTTGGCAAACATTTGGTGTTTAGAGAAAAATTCTCAAGGAATCATGGTGGCGTATTTACAATATCCTCGAAACGTCAACTAGCCAAACACGTTTATGTTGACAGTACAATTAGGCGTAACCCGCATTACGTCATCATTGACACACGCTGTGTCCAGCTGAATTAATGATCGTTCGAGTCACTCGTCAATGTGCTTCTAGCAAACAAAGAATTTCAAAACGCAATCACTGAAGCATTCATTGAAAAATCGATTAAAAAAATTCCACAATAGAAAAATGACAAAAAACAAAGCACGAAATGACGCACAGTGCACAGTAGTGCAAGGGAGAGAAGCACGAGAGGCAAATTTATGCTCTTAATCCCTGAGCTTCTCTTTTCAAGAAAATCATAACAATACAATTCGAAATTGTATAATGATACTCAATTAAGATCCCAATTGACCTCCTTCGCTAAGCCCAACCCAAGACCGGAAGTGTCTATGGGACGTGACCTAACCTAGAAATATCTAATTGCACGAGTACCAAACGCAGCGACAAGAATTTCGAAATTCACTAATCAATTAGGTAATTATATGTATAAAGCAGGGCGAAGGTCGAACGACCGCGATACCTTTAAAGTGGAGAAATCATGAGGAATCCTACATACGTGACAAAAGTGGCCAATAAAGCAGGCAATCTTCCATTATAACGTAGGCGCATGCGCAGTAGTCGAAAATCTCGCTATCAACTGATAAAACCGTCATATTTAATCTGCTTATAATCTATGGTGATTTTCATAATTATCTCAGGACCGAAAACCTGCAGTTCGTTTATCTACGAGAGATGCAACGTCTACAAGCTTATCAAGCACTGTATGCACAAGATGGAATCGCAATATAAAAAATAGCGAAATAATTTACTATAGATAATAAAGCTAAAAATGATCTCGATCACTGATATATATATATAACAAGTCTAAGATAACTTAGTCTTATCTTATTAAATCGCATAAAAGAATAATATCCTTGGCCTTATTACCAACATAAACATTTAGCAAAGTTTGAGTAATAAAAACTTGAGAAACAAAAAAAAGATACAGAACGGCCTAGCTTATCAGGAAGGTAGGTACTGTTGATCTTTCACACGGAACCAGCCGACGCGACGCGTCGTGCAGCGTCCCGGTGCCCAGAGACAAGCGCACTGTAAGCACAGGAGATTATTAGTGGGAAACAAGGCGCCAACATGAAAGAAGCTATTGGCTAAAAAAAAAATTCAAAAATGCCGCGCATACGAGTCCTCGTGATAAAGTGGCATGTAGACCAGTTCGACGACGCTCGTCGTCTATAAGATGATTACAGGTGTAGGGAGCAGAGCAGCGTCGCGGCGTCGCGCGAGGCCCCACGACGTCCTGCTTCGCTACCGGTAATCACTGTCTATCGTGTTTGCGAGAATAACTCGTATGTCGCTTCATGAGGAGAGGATTATACTCATGGCGCCTTAAGACGGCGTCTCACTTGCTTGCTAGGATATCGCCTACATGAGGATTGCCAAGATGGACCGGGATGCTGGTAATCACCGTGAAATTATTTCATTATTTTCAACCAGCACCTACATGCCTTACGCATTTATCAATGTGTCTCCTTGTACCCCGACACATGTATATTTCGTAATATGAAGATGCGCCTTATAGCTCTCGTTATCAGTTGGATCATAGCCCCATGGACCACACGTATTGTTCCGATGTTGCTGCGATTACCTTTTTGTTCTAGTTAATTATGCAGCCCCAGTGTATTTAATATCTATTCCAAGGACAATGTGGATTTTCTTGTAAGTTATGGTTTCTTTGCATGAATTCCTCGCGCGCGCTGAGCCGTGTAACGCGACGCGGCTGGCGCTTCCCTTCGAAATTCTTCAGACTGAAAGATCCAAGATCCGAGCACGCTTTACGCGTAGGGATGGACGCAGGAAATTGCGTTATAGATAATTTTTTGGGATTTTTTTGTCATACGTGACAATTGGACAGAAAATTTGGGAAAAATATATAAAAGATTAGAATCTCATGAGAAGATAATTATTTCGTTCCAAATGCAGTTCCGTTGATGTCTTGTTGATTGGTCATGGGTTCTTAAGATGACGTACTATTTCATTATGGTATTGAGATCAGTTTCCCCTTTTTTTTTGACACTCTAGGCGATTTTATTAACATGCAACTATCTCGTGGCAATTCTAATGTGACAGTGAATACCCGTTACTCGTGTGGCCAGACTCCACAAAACGCAAGTCTAGAGATCAGAGCACTGGTTCCCAACTTCAGATAAATTGCAGAGAACCAAAGCGAGGCTATCACGATAAATATTATTATCGATAATTAATTGCGAATTAATAAAACTCTGGACCATTTCGTATCCCAGCGTCACTTACGTTTAAAATTATTTTATCAATTTTCATAATTCTCATCCCAGACATGTGACACAAAGGTGACAAAGAGAACCATGGATCACGTGGGACCTAGAGACCTTTACATCAGAATCTCATCTTCCCAACTTCCCGTTACGATGTCGACCATCTGGACCAGCAGTGTCAATCGTTACAAACTATTCTATCGAGAGAGGATGTGAATCATAGAGTATACCGAATAAACGATCGCGCCCATATACAGTGTTGATAAAGAAAAATTAATCGGTCTTAATTTTTCAAAATTATTCTACCTACGTCTCCGTTCATCCTTTCAGACTGTAAGGACTCATGCCCTTCTTTCACGGTACATTTAACTCACTTCCGGTGTCGCCTCGGTCTCTTAACTCGCTCGAGTGCAAATAGTGCATACGTATAGTCACGAGTGCATTGGCATTACTTTTTTGGACACACGTTATATTGTTTTCGTTAATTGATTTTTTCAATTTTTATAGCACGCCTGAACTTTGCCACGGGACTCGGCCGACGCTTTCACGAAATTCAAAGGGAACGATATTATTTAGCGATTCTTGCCGTAAGGAGAGTCAATAAAATATTAACGATTGGCGCGCTTACAATGAATGCCATTAAACTGCGCATGCGTAAGGACAATGGTTTATGCTACCAATAAAACGTAGTGTATCGTAAACCCTTCTTTAATGAGCGAGGGAAAAATTGAAACAACACCCGAGACCATAGTGTGGAGTCACGTTCTATATTTTACTCCAGGAAATCAAGTAGTCCCGACGTACCGTGATTTTTGAAAATTTCGAAATTCAGTGCGGCTCACAAAGTCGTCCAGTGAAACGGTGGCGTCAAAGTTCACTGCTACAAAGTGAAACTACGTGCGCCTAACTTGACCAATACCAAGCTTAATTATCAGCTGAGTTAGTCTAAACGATTTTACTCACGCAAGATTGAGCATCGCCTTGAGGGACATTATCAAAGATCTCATGGTTGGTATAGACCGTGACATACCAGTACTGTGTTTGGGATACGTTTTATGCGTCCCCATTAACAATATCTTCGTGTTGTCATTTAACATCGCGCATCCTGGATCCTTGGTCGATGCCTCCACGTGGCTCGGAGTGTTAATATATCCACTAGGCGCGAGCTATTTGATATTTCTTTATTTTACATATACATACGTCAGTCTCGGTTTCCACCTCTACCCGTGCCTCCTGTCTCGCGGCGGCGGCCATCTTTTATTTTGGACATCCACTTCGGATTATGATGCTCGCTCCCGATGGTAGATATAGCAGCTGTGGATGCTTGAATGAAACCACAGAGGGATTAGAGTTGAACGAAGATAAAAAAGCTGGTAAAAGAACAAAAGTACATCAACACATGTTTTCGAAGGGTGTTTTCGTCGAGGATACGACTCTGGATTATTATTATTAATTGCAAGGTGTACGCGCATGCGCGCAAGCTAGTACTTGTGCAATAGTTTGCGTACTCGTTCTCTACGCATGAATTTGTCATCATAAAATTGTACGCGTTCTGCGTCATCCATATCCCATGATTCGTGTGCCTATGAATACGGTGTAATATATATATTCTCACATGCTGTACTTCGTAGCAATTATGGCAACCATTGCCTAGTTCCTTATCCATCGAGTAAATAGGAGGAGCTCACAGCTTCCAATCCGCGTGTCATCGCACTTTTCGGCTAAACGCGTTTCCACGGCGACTCATTAGCGATTATCTATGGGTCTTATCGCGCGCTCGACACGACGTTCTTCTCAGGCTTCTATAGGCACATACGAGAGTTCGCCAATAGCCAGTAGCCATTTACCCTTGACCCTTGAGAGAACTTGTCTTATCTTAGCAATCTCGTCACCAGCGCCACGGGCATTAAGTCACCTGTTCTTCCTTTATAATCACTTGGTTGGAAACGGTCAGCATCTTATTCCGGTTTCGACATTAGTTTTCAGTGTAATTCAATGAGGATATCAAAAGTGGCGTGAGAAAAAAGTTTGTAAAAATTGACAAGTCGCGCTATTACCAAAAAGTGCTTTACCGAAGGAAGTGTTGGAAGTCGACGCCTTAAGTGTTCACGCGTTCTCATGAGTCAATACGCACACGCACCAAGTTCATTAGTCGAGGACACTCACGTGCACGGGACTCGGTATTGGTATCAGTGGCGGAGACTATATCGCCTCTCGGAGGGAGATGAGTCGAGGCATGAAAAAGACAAGCGGAGAGCCGAGAGAGGCCTATTACATATGAAGGAGGCAGAACTAGTAAAACGTACGAAAGAGTAAGGGAACTACGTACTGATATAGATATATGTGTGGAACACATGCCGATGTATACGAACGAGAGAGTGTAGATGAGAGAGGCTGGTACTGGTTCGGGATGAGTTGGGGCACTCTGAAGTGCAAGCTGTTCTTACGAGTCTTCAGTCCCGTGTCGAGGCCCGTCGACGCACCTTCTTAACCAGGGGTCCCTTTACTCGAGCGGTCCCGCCGACACGACACGAAACCGTACGAACGCAGGCACGAGATCGGACGGAAACGTCGGGAACATGTCCCAGAAACGGTGATAGCTGGGAAGGCGAATTTTTTTCAAATATTTTTTAACAAGATATTTTTGGTTTTGGGTTATTCAAATTCTTTTTTTTTGTGTGATTCTTATGGATTGTTACGTTGACGAGATTCAAATTTGAACTGATTTTCGCGCGCCCTATGGTTACTGGTCGAGCCTCGCACCTGTATCTCTTCGGGCCTTATCGCTGGCTTTGATTTGTCGTTGACAAAGTAAGTGATTTGCTTTTGTGATCCGTCATGGTCTCGGCAATGGTTTACGGATTTGGATGGATAGTTCAGTTTTTTTTTTTTTTATGAAAATTAATTATTGAGAATGTCAATATTTTTGGAATTTTTATATGATTCAATTTTTTAAATATTTTTTGTGAGAAATTATTTCTTCATATATGTAATTGAATTAATGAGTTTCTCCTCTCCTTCTTTTTTTGATCTCTCTTACCGGTACGGAATTTTCGTGTAACGAGGGAAAGCCGATTACAGTGCTGGCAACATGATGACAAATCATGTTTACACTATAATTTACTTGTCTCGCATTATGCAAATAATATTTAGCATAGGTGCGTTTTATCATTCTAAAGAAATGCACGTTACCTGCATACTTTCTCCTTCTGGAAGGAGAGCAGACGCAATTGCACACTCGAATCACTGAACGACTAGTTTTGTTTTTACGACCTGAGACTCGTTCAAAATTGCAAAACCTGTATCAATCTGAACGCGCTACTCGTTCTCAGCCTTTCACGCGTCTGCAGGCACAAACTATAAGAAAAAAAACTTTTGCAAAAATATTCCAAATACAAATATCATTATTCCTGTCAGATAAAAACATATTGGAACTGGCCAAGAAAAAGTGTTGAGAAATTATCAAGCATTGTGTAGCCATTTTTCTCTTAGTATCATCTTCCACAGATAAACTCGACATTTATAACAGCTGATAGTGTATCGTGTCACACTAATTTGGAGCTTCCGGAGAGACAATACGGCCAACCATATTCTTAGCATTGATCAAAGAGCATAAGCAATTTTTTTAAACAGTACAAAAATTATTTTCATGCGAAAAACGAAGGATTTGCAATAAAAAAATAAGAGCAAGAGAGATCAATAGATTGTTAACAAAATTGAAAAATCCATCCGTAACTCGTAGTCACGTTGTACCAGTAGGATCGCACAAAGATCATATCGATCATATAGATCAAATTGATCTCAACAGATTACAAAGTGCCCAGAAGGGCACGCGAGAGGGAAGAGGATAAAGAGAGAGAGAGAGAGAGAGAGAAAAAAAATAAAAAAATAAAAAGCACACAGATGCAAGAAAATCGCAAGCTCGGATAAGGGGAGGCTGGGCGGAAGGCCATCGGCCAAAGCGGAAGTCGTGTGAAAACGTCGTGGGATTTGTGTAAAGGATAATAATGCTGGTGCACAAAGCTGGTTTATCCTTGCTGGCTGCCGCATTTCTCTTCCTGGCGAATCCTACGCACCAGGAACCTGAATCTGGAGCCAGATATTCTCCGAGAGCAGTCCAGGATCTCGATAATGTAGTCCAAGCACTACCGCATCACGGGTGAGCATTTCTTGAGCAATAAACCTCATAGAGAATCCAATGAGATGGTAACCGGAAGCTGTGGGGAGTTAGCTTTAATATAATATATTAACTTTTCGCACTCCTAACATATCCGTAGTTGACTCAGTGACGCGTAGTATTATAAATATACACATAGTACGGCCTGGGGGAATTTACAAAATGATATTCAGGGTGGGCCAATCCCAGGGAGACTGGTAGCTGCTTCTCCCATTGCGATTGACCGATAGGTCAATGAGAGTCTACATGGGAAAGTGTCTGACACGAGAGGCGCCGTTGACGAGACGTGGCGCAAAGAAAAAAAAAAAAAAAAAAGAAAAAGAAAAAGGAAGTATAAAAAGACAGAGACAAAAAATGCACATGTACACACATGAGATACAGATTGGTACAAGGGATGGGATCCTTTTAAGAGGATACTAGATATTCCAGCATCCGACAGTGCGTAACCATTGAAGTAGCGAAATAGCAGTTAACGCGAAGAAAATAAAATTGATTAATTTAGAGAAAAAAAGTTTTCATTATTAACTTAGTCTTCAGAATTTTGTATTACTAGGAATGGCTCTTGTGAATGCTGTCAAATTTTTTTCTTATCACGCAAAGTTCAACATTGACCGTTCGAAACGTGAACTTGTCCATTCATCAAAAATATTCATGGCTTACGGATTTCGTAAAATTATCGAGAAACGCGTCGAGTCATTTAATGTGTTCGAGTGTACACACATGTCTACACGCATGGGAGATGAGTATTTTATCATTGACAAAAATGAAGGGTTTCAAGGAGCAGGTCAAAGTTCAGACTTAATTTCGTGTAAATACTCGGTTCACCAATGGAACTTCGTCTATTTTAGGAAGTGAATTTATTTAGGGTTACAGAAACGTCACACGTCTATAACATGTAGGAATTCACATATGACATTCTTATAGCGCTGGAATTTATGTCAAATACGATGTGTGATCTCATACGTACGGTGAACGTATTGGGATTTCTCTTCACGAAAAAAATCGCAATCATTAAATAAATAACAAATGATGTGCACCCGTATACTTACCGTTATTGAGTATCGATGTGACGATTACCGCGATTACCGCAATTATCGAAATAGAATTCGTAGAAACGTGGGTCATCTTGATCCGGGGTGAGGAGGTTGTTACCGATAGCCTGGCATTGAGATTTCGTTCCCTTCGATCGGGACAAATACCGATAAAATTGTTTTGTTTCTCGTAATTAGAAAATTATTAATTCTTTTATTATATAAATACACGAATAACCTGTAGGACAAAAATAAACTTTTATTTTCGCAAATTCAATTCCTACCGACTTATCCACACATTTTGCACGTGGGTACAGGAAGAATAATTGTTTATAAAAAATCTCAAGTTTACGAGTCGTAACAATCGTACAGCACGGTAATAAAGTGTCTGGTGCGATTTAGTAATTTTCTCTACCCAGTGAAAATTCACTTGTATCACTGACGTATCGGTAACGGGACGCATGGCGCAAACCAAGTAACGTAACAAGTAGTAGTAAACGTAATGACGGGCAAAGCGTTAATGCGAAGGAAGCACTAGATTCCACGGAATTAGGAAGCCTCGGAAAAAGGGGCTGCCCAATCAAATGCGTATTAGCAATTCGCATAAATCTTGCAACTGCAATTCCGTCCTAATATAGAACAGGCGTATACGTGATATACGCTGTGCATCATATGGTATTACCTACATGCTATAGATCGGTTACTATAGTTACGCGATGATTCTCTTCAGGCAATATATGTGTATATATATATCTATAAATACCCCAGTCAGCCTGTATTCCACATTTTGCCTCAAGAGAATATAATCGTGTAAGACGTAACTATAGTAACCGATCTATAGCATGTATGTAATACCATATGATGCACAGTGTATATCACGTATACGCCTGTTCTATATTAGGATATATATATATATACATAGCGACCTAATAAATTTTCCTCCTCCGTACGTGTGCGGGTGAATATATAAAAGCGCGAATGATAAATGACAAAGTTCAGCGATTTTAGAGCACGCGCTATCACGCGGACCCATTACTGTCGCGATTACACATACGCGCTCACACATGTGTGGTACGTGTCAATTTTTTTTGTTGCGTCCTGTACGCGATAAGGGGACATCTCCAGACACGCTCGTAAACGAATATTGAATTTTCACGATGAAACAGACAATTTTGAACGGGACTGTAGCGCCATTGATAAAAGAATAAAATTATCTATTTGCCCATTTTTTATCAGAGATAAGTATCTACGATGTCTGACTGGGTCACTCGGGTCATCTATGATATTTAGACGGTGTCCCTATCACGTGTTTGTTTTATTATGAAATCATTACAAAACAGGTACAGGCGCCTTGAAAAAGAAAAAAAAAAGAAGAATTTATCAACAATGATTTCCCGTTAGAAAAAATTCTCAACCATTTATAGCATTCGAATGCATCACCGGCAGGTTTTTTTATTGTGCAATTACATTGCTTACGATTATCTAAGCGCGCGTATGTAGATTCGAACAGATAGTGCCATCCTATCTCTCGTAACACTTTGTAAGGAAAGATGCGCGTCACGATTAGAAGAATAGAAAAAAAGGTCAAAGAAACACACTAGAAAAATAATCCTAGTTTCATTCGTCCGTGCATAAGCAAATTCATCCCAGACAATTCCATGGAATCGTATGTGTGAGTAATGAGACGAAATTACACCTAGCGGTATAAAGTGCGTTTGATTAATTACTCAAAAAATGAAGTTCAAAGTATTCTATAAATCATCTTTTTTTCGTCCGTAACAGTTGCAGTTTTGAAATTTTTTTTTCACGAGCAACTTAATGCACCGGGCTTTGTTTAGATAACTGTTACCATTTATTTAACTCAGTCTCGAGGTTGATACGCGTATGTTCAATGTTGACTGAAGATTAATTAACGTCCTGAGCATGTTCATTACTTGCTGCTTCTTAATGAACGACCGAAATTACGGTTGAGTAATATACGCCTCTCCGTATGGCAATTTCAAATATAAATCTTGATATAAGAACACTGCGCATGCGCAGACATGACTAATAAATAGGACAGCCTCGCACGCGATCGATAAACAGTAACGAAATAAAAAAATGCGAACGATGCATTAACAATGAAAAGTGCGATAATGGGAATTTGAAAGGGTGACGTCATCCATATACTTCAATGTGCACTTACTCGTAGATACGCTGCGCCTATTATATTAATAATAGTAGGAGCATCGTACACAGGGTGTTTGAAATTCTACTGACTGCCAATTACGTTAAACGATTTAATGACTATTGTCTTCCGTGAGAATTTCTTAGCCGCTCGACACTCGGCGAACTAAATTACTCCTAATGGGGCTGGTTAGGCACGCGCGCGCGCGCATGCGCACAGCCCTATATACGTGCACCACGAAAATATAAAGGCGGCAATGCGAAGCTCAAAGACTCAAGACTGCATCTGCCATTTAATCCTTGAGCTTGTTGCACCGATTGAACGGCGTTGCACACTGTTCCAGTCGTTGGCTGTTGCACATACGTATTAATCAGACTTACTAGACTTAGAGATGCTAGTCTCGTTTCCACCGTCTTCCCTGTCGTAGTTATTATTATTATGCTCATTAGGAATGATGCATTTCGCGGAAGGGATGTAATTTATAGGCTTTTGTCATTGGTCTCTTGTGACGTTGCAGGGGCACAGCTATACTCTACTCCTCCGCATTCCCTTAAAACTCAAACGATCGTTTAACCCAGTTTCACAGGCAGAACAATTAGCGTGAATAATCCATTAATTAGAGATGGTCCTTCAAGAGGGTTTAAGCTCCTGTCAAAATGGCCCCACGGTAGATACGTCATTACGCGAATATCATTTCAATGTGCAATGACTATGCACCAGGGACTATTGACTTACGGTCGTGATATATATATATATATATATATTTTTTTTTGAAATTCGTAGATGTTACCTTGTACAATTAATTGGAGAAAATTAAGTTCTGGTACTTTATAATTGTGTCTGTACTGGAATCAGATTGCCGGTACAAGTGCAGCGGAATGCAGAACCGTATTAAACTGCATAAACGCGATAATGCGATAGCCACTGGAGAAACATGGTTATAATCGAAATAAAATCAAATCGATCAAACCAGTAACACAGTTCTGTTAATTCAATCGACTTAATTGAAAGCGCAACTTGTCGTTCTTTTTCTTTTCAAATAAAATAACACCCTGGAAAAATACACATTCAATGTGTTGAAAATGTATCTCATTAAAATCGAATATTTTTTGCTCCCCTCGTTAATTTCGAGCATGACTGTCATCGAATTAGTAGAAAATATACAGGGACACATCGTGCACAGTGTATGTGGAGCACGTGTGAAATTGAAAGTTTTTTAAAAAAAAACTTACGTAATGCATCGGAATTCAAGCTGAAGCAGAGTAATTTTAACGTGCATACGTAGACCCGCATTAGTGATCCGTCTCGGAGTCTTCAGGAAAGAGATAAAAAAATAAAATGTAAAATAAAAGCGCGCAAGCAGAGCCGGGCAAAGTATCGGTGCCCCATTATGATAAATATACGATCAATGAATGCACGTTGTACGTCCATAGTGCACCAGCCGACGATGCACAAATGCATCGCAGAGTCCCTAAAGCCTCTCATTGATAACCGTCACTAATTCAATGCGCTGTTATTGACCAAGAGAATGAAGCATACGAGGAATTTCTTGGTCACGCACGACGTGCTATCGATATTATAAGAGACAAAAATAAAGAGTCACTGTTCTCGGATTATTTATTCGAAGCAAAGTATTTTACGAATGTTATTAGACTAAATTGAAATGAATAAAAAAAGAAAAAGAAAAAGAACGATCGAGCTGTCGATGTTAGCCAGGTCCAAGGGAAATAACACGGACGGATCATTTATCAAGCTTTCGTCCCAGCACGAGGAGAATCAAAATGTTATGACTTGCGTAGTGCCGAGTAGGTTTAGGTGTACCTACTAACTCATTCACCAACTCGCTAACTCACTAACTCACTGAATCCAATGCCGGACTTGTTCGGCTAATCCTACTAGTCAAATGCATCTCTCTATTCGGTAGTCCCGAGTGACCCTAATACCCACTCTAATCCCATCTTCTTCACTGCTAATAGGGATGGTAGTTAGCGCTAGGTATAACCAACTTTTGTTATCCAGACTGACTTATTAGAAACGAGGATTTGTATATGCACAATGTGTGTTCCAGAGGATTCTCGTTATAAATGAGCTTAAGACCTCGTTAACGCCTGGGGCTGACTCTGGCAGCGGAATCACATTTTACTAGACGAAAGAGACCACCCCGTATATATTTTGGGTTACTTTAAATAAGTGCCTTATCCTTTTGGTCTCTTCGTTCCTGGATACTTTTTTCTTTTTATTCTGGCTATGAAGACTAGCGAACTGTGAATATATTAAAAAATTAATAGCTTTGTTATTGGATATTTACTAATGGTCAGGTTGGGTCTGGTTATCTTGCTGGAGTTGCGAGATACACATGGAATTGCACGTGAAATGATTCTCTGGAATGCGGTATAGTGCACGTGAATCGGCGCATGCGCACCAGCGAACGCACCGCATGACTGCACCACGGAAATATTTAGTTATCGCGACTAAATGAATTACGTTGCAAGAGATACATTGCTCTGAGCACTGTTGGCTATTCGATAGGGCATTCCTTGTGGAGCTAGGTACTTCTTAAAATTGGGCAGGAGCCATGGGCGCAAAGATTAGGCTTCGGGTGACGCGTGGATTCGACCGGGCGCATGCGCAGTAACGGGTACGTCATCACGCGCAGGCGCAAGACATTATTTAACGTTACTCGGCACTCGGACGATTATAAAATACCTAATTACTGCATTCCGTTCTAATCCACTTGGTACTTTCTCTCTTTTTCTTTAAATCTCTTCATCGTCTCTTTATTTTGTCTCTTGCGCGCCAACCAATTCCTTTCGATTAATGGAATTCTCGTGTAATACTAAGCGGATTAGAATTTACTGTGCTTCTCATTGTTTGGAAATGTAATATAAAGAATAGTTGAAATCATGCAGGCCTTCGAATACACAGACGGGATAGGGCCTCTTTGGATGTTTTTCCTTTTATTTCCAAAACGTGACGTACGTGACTTTCTTTTTATTGACTTCAAAGGGAGGAAATATATTTTTGGATCGGTTTACGGCGACCTCAGTTATTTATGTTCGGTTTGTAAGTTCATTTTACATTTTAGGATCAGAACAGCTGGTTACACTACTTGCGGCAAAGTTGTTGTTCCATTATTTTTTCTTGCTGCAAATTTGAATTTTTATTTTTCCTAGAATCTATTCGCCAATGCGAATACTTGATATACTGCCTAGCGAGCAAAGGAGTTTACTACTTAGGAACGATTTGAGCCTTGGGCCCTTTTTTGTAATGGGCTATTATTAAGGGCGGGTGTTAAAATTACAACCCTGATCGATATCCGATCAGACACCCCATATCGAGATCTCTCATAAAATCAGGTAACGAACTCAATTTACAAGAGAACATCATTTTCTGCATAGGTAACGTACAGGCTTCTTCAAAAATTTTACTCGATCCAAATTTCGAAAAGTAACAATTTTCTCGAGTCCTTCGCAATTTAACTGTGTCCAAAGTACGACCTGACATTTAACAAATTTTCAACTTTAGTGTACAAAAAATGCAAAAAAATGTTTTCCAAAGTCACTTCCAATACAGTCATACCTACATATGGAGCAGTACGATAAATCGGAATTCAAAAGAGCATTGTGAGAACGCAGTAATCGAGTCAAGAGGACCAAATGAAATGTCGCGATAACACCAAGAATTTCAATCTATTAAGCTATCGCGAGAGTTAAGTGCAGGGTGCGGTGCCAAGACGTCTTCTGAGGTTTTCGTGTCAACGTCCGATACGCGCCATGGAAATATTTCCCAGTGATGGTAAAAATCTCTGAAAATTTGACCCAGTACAAATTTCTTGGTATTTCCATAAAAAAAGAAAAGAAAAACAAAAATGCACTCAACGAAATAATTCTTACTAATCTCACGACACAAGCACAGTGTCGGAATAATTTTTTTTATTTTGACGCTGACTATTGAAAAAAATTAAATTCTATCGCGTTATTGGGTTTTATTAAGAGTGCCATACGACAGCTGCTCGAAACTGCCATAAGTGAGAGCAAAGGAAGGCTGAATTAATCATAGTCGGTATTCAGAGACGACTCGTAGAACATCCGTGGAACACGGCCTCGTTATGGCGCGATTATATTATGCTGTTTATACATATACAAAAAAGGGGGTAGCCGTGTCCCATTGTTTGCCCGAGATTGCCTAATCGTCTTGCACGCGTGGGCTCTAATGTATTATCAGTTAACAAATATGTACAGTACGATGATACTCTTCACGCCGCCGGTGGTCGTTTACAACAATACTAAACGCTCGTGATTCAGATAACAGAAATGAGTGTTAACTGCTGAACGTCCTCTAGATAGTAACGTTCTTTAAAAAAAAAAAACAAAAAAAAAATTGGGCATTAATTTGGAGCCTGTATACGTATATAGCCGATACAAGGGATATTCCTCATTGATTGATATTGATCGATTGATTGATCCTTAACACGAGATTGGTGTATGGTGTGATCATCCTTCATGTTTTACAGATCAATATTTATGGATGCTGCATAAGGATGCTGTCGGTAGCAATTTCTTTGTCTTATAGAAAATAATGGTTGTTGTTAAAAAATCAAATTTGTCGATTGGTAATCATCTTTGAGATCGACGATTTGATTGATTGCCAATAGGGAATTGATCGTCTGCCTCAATAGGCTTTACATCGTTCATTCATACTTATTTCGTCAGTGGCAGGCAGCCTCGGTAATGACGTCATATTTTATGTACGAATAAATTGAAAATTAATTATTATAAATAATAAAAAAAAAAGCTAATTCTATAATTTTTCTACGCAATACGCCATCTTTCAATATATCCTATATCAGTGTGTACTGATACATTCAAAATTTGTAATGCATCCCATAATAGAAAATCTGTCGAATGAGCTAGCTGTAAATTTCCCATTGAATTCGACTGTTGATTGAATGATGTAAAATTAGAAAAATCATTCTGGAATGAGCGAGCATTCCTTCTCATTCAAATACAATAAACATATATACAATGAGAAATTATCAATGGCTTATTTAATATATTTAAAAATATATCATAAGTCATCCGTCCACGCATATGCATTCCTAACGGTCCCGAAGTGCATTCCACGCATGCGCATCTGCACTAGAAAAGAAAGTCCTAACAGAGAGATCATTTTTCGCATTTGGGCCTTATCGTTCCATCGGACCCTAATTAAGGCGTGTCACGTTATATTTCCATGAGAAAACGAACGTTAAGTAAAGTGTGATGGGAAAATAAAGTCAAAGTAAACCACGCAAAAAATTCATATCTGAAGATGCGCAGTACAAATAGATGCTATAATTTCGATAAACGCGGAATCCGACTTCGCTACATGGGTATAGGACTGAAATTTAAGGAGTTTGCAAGCAGCGAAGTGCAGCTGTCGTTAATTAAGAAGCGCGAAGTCAACGGCCTCTCTGCTTCCGAGGTAGGATTCGTTATGACTATAAATTATTTTTAAAATATTTTCTTCAATTTTAAAATTTCACACGTTGATCATCTTCAGTTTAAAGATAGTGTATTTATCGGGGAGATAAATATTTGAATTCCTATTAAAGAATTGATGCATTTATGTAAACACCAATTTTTTATTTTTCAAACGCCTTAAAGCTGACGTCTTTTTTCTCCCCATACCGTGTAATTGATAGAATTCGTGTATTCGTACCCACGTAAGTGCATGATATTTCTCAAGATCTTTTTTTGTATCGAGATCTATCGATCACTCGAAAAACTTGCGGTGAAAAAAAAATAAGAGGATTAGTGTCGGATCTTGGGATGGCAGCACTTATTATACAAAACGAATAAGGGGCCTCATGGATACACGGGTGGAGATTCTGGGACCCCGCGGGCCCAATCGGCCCTCCCAGTGTCAGATGTAAATGATGCCATCTTCGACATAATACACGTGATTGAGTGAAATATAAACGTTCGATCGGGGGGATGAACGTATCGATCGATAACTGATAACATTTATACCCTCCCTTAGTATCGGATAACTTTTTATTTCTTATTTATCTTTTTCATTCTCATCGTGTATCGATCCCCATGGATCAGAGATCGTTACCGATCTTTTAGATCTATACAACTATTTTTTTTATTGTAACTATCCCATCCATCCCTCCCCCTCAATCTTCATTGCCCTAGGGATTGACGTCACCCCCCGTTGATTTTTACCATTTTTCCTATTTTTTCTTGTTCAATCCTTTTCTTTTTTTTTTTTTTCACGTGAATGAGACTCATTTTACAATCCGTTAATCATAATGTGTCAGCGTAAATTTTACCATGTGGGACAGGCGTGACCGATTCACCTGAATAAATGATCAATGAGAACTATCCTTGTTCTTTTTTCTCACGCCTATATAGAAAGAAGGCATTTTTTTTCAAAGATTTACACCCACCGAATTTTGGGCCTTTTGTGTTGTTCACGCAAGAATTGTACTTTAGGGCGGGTCGATACACCCTTTTTACATTGTAGACATTGTACACGCATGCGTGTGTATGTATTTGATATCTCTCTTGCATTTCTCTTGCCTTCTTTCTGTCAAAAAAAAAAAAAAAAAAAGAAAAGAGAGAAAGAGACGCCTGTCAAATTTATTCCCAGCACGTGGAAATTCATGGAGATTAACTTTATAAGATATTCGTTGCAGCGTGTCGAGTCACACGTTAAGAGCGTTATGGATTTATATACAGATAAATATATATTATCATTTGAATTATCCATTTTAGGCCCAACGTCTGCGCATCGAGGTACAATAATTACTGTTGCCCCGGATGGACGAAAAAACCGGAAACCGGTCTCTGCGTCGTTCGTGAGTATTTCCGTTTGAGGTATTTATCGTTGCATTTGTAAATGTCTCAATTGGCCAAACACTCTTTTCGGTAGCAATATGTTCCGGACGCTGTGGCGAACAAGGAAGATGCATCAAGCCGAATATATGCTGGTGCGACAATCGCGTGGTAGCTTCTGCTTGCAACTCGATACAAGTCAAAGGTGAGTGATATAGAATAAAATAATAACCAACGGCATATACGTGTATCTATACCACTGAAAATCGTGTGGCAATGTACATTCCCAATGATGAAAGCAAAATTGTATATACGAAACAATTTGAGCTTTGTTATAGAAATATTATGATTGTTTTACCTGTTAAGAAGCCAGTCGATATTCTTCGAATACGCCTACAGGACCGTCTGGTCTGCCTACGAGAGTCAACGCCTCCTTATGCACCGAACGAAAGTGCATTATGCACTTGATGCACTCCGAGTGGCAGTAGGCTACTGAAACAATGGCAAAGAAATAAATAAATATTTTTCCTCTCGGTATAATAAAACAGATGGATTCGAATGCAACTGAGGAAATGAAAGTAAATGTTGTTTCCTATCTATTTAATCTGTATCAATGGGGATCATTAATGAGGCTGGAGAACGATTCGATGATGATAAGGGGGGTTAGGAATTCTTCAAAGGGCAAATAATTAACGCGGCAGCGGGTAATTAGGGCTCAGATGGAATAAGTAAGGTATGATTAGTTAAGCGGATAGGAGGCGGGAGGAGTGCATTGCACAACATTAAACACCACGGGGATTCCCCGCTAGACAATTGAGATTCGTGATCGGGCCCGATTGCCTTCACGTGTTCTCCATCTCGTATCGTTTTCATCTTGGATTTCCTAAGTGAATGTGCACCATAGAGTGCTTATGTATAGATATAGAATCTCAAGTCCAAGAACGTGGTCCATGGCAGGAGTCTGTGAGAGAAATAGGTGGGAACGAGTCACTTAAAAAAAATTTTGTTCTACCCTGAGAAGAATAATGGAAACAAGATTTCTTTTAATATTTCCTAATTGGGTTAATGCAATTGTTTCAAGACAATTCCCAGGACATTGCAAGTGCAGGAGGTCGGGGAGCTGAAAGTGGCACCTGCAGGGCACAGTGCATCAATGGCAACTGCGTTGATGGTCGATGTCAGTGCAGGCCTGGCTACCAGGGGGAATTTTGCAATGAACGTGAGTATAGCAAAGAATAATAATTAATTGATTTTCATTATTATAATTATTCACGTGTGATTCAGCCGTATGCAGGGAACCTTGCCTGAATCAAGGCAGATGCATCGGACCTGACAGATGCGCGTGCATTTACGGCTACACTGGGAGAAGATGCGAAACGGATTACAGAACTGGTCCATGTTATACGAAAGTTCGAAATGGCCAGTGTTTGGCTAATTTGCAAGGCGTCGTTTGCACGCGACAACTTTGTTGCGCGACTGTTGGCAAAGGGTGGGGTCATCCCTGCGAAAGGTGTCCGACCAGATTGGATTGCGATTTGGGATACTTGAAAACACATCAGGGCCAGTGCGTTGGTCGGTATAGCTAATTACCTATTTTTTTATAATTATTTTTCATACTCGGTAAGACTTTGCAAAATTTTGTATTTTTTTTTGCAATGATAGATATCGACGAGTGCGAAGCAATTCCTGGGCTGTGCGAAGGTGGCAAGTGTCTGAACACACCGGGATCCTTCACGTGCGAGTGTCCACCTGGACAGGCACGTGATCCTGAGACTAACGAGTGCAAGGATCAGGACGAGTGTCAGGACGAAGGAATCTGCAATGATGGCCGCTGCATAAATACAGATGGCGGTTATTACTGTCTATGTAATCCTGGTTTTATACAGAGTCAAGACAGAAGATTTTGCATAGGTAACACTATATAAATGCATTGATACAAATGCATCTTAAAAAATGTCCTGAATTTAATGAGCTATCATTAATTATTTTGGTTAATCAGACGGTAGACAAGGTCTCTGCTTTACCGCTGTCAATAGGAACGGCCAGTGCAAAAATCGCTTAGCGATGAGATTAAGTAAGAAGGATTGTTGCTGCGGTAAGAATGTAGGTCGCGGCTGGGGCGACGAGTGTTACATATGTCCAAACGCCGGAAGTGGTGCGTAGCTATTAATTCTCGAGTGCAATTAACTTTCAAGTAGTTGAGGAAAATAAAAAAAAAACAGGACTAATTGGTTAATATCCCATAGAAGAACACAGGCAGCTGTGTTCGCCGCAATCGGAGTCGATTACGCTGATCAACGAATGCGCCTTGAAGCCTGACATTTGCGGGCACGGAAAATGCATTGATACCCCGGAAGGATACGAGTGCGAGTGTTATCCTGGATACGATAAGAAGACGGGACGATGCGAGGACGTCGACGAGTGTCAACTAGGATACTGTCAGCATGGCAGCTGTCAGAATACTCCTGGCAGCTTCATTTGCAGTTGCCCTCCTGGCTTTGTTGTTTCCGGTGACGGAACGTACTGCACAGGTATTGCAAATTATTTTTCTACAAGTAACTCTTCAATGATTTTATGCATTTTTCTTTACCTCAAGATCATGACGAGTGTCAGGATACAAGAATGTGCAACAATGGGCATTGCACGAATGTCGACGGTACTTTCAGGTGCAAGTGCAACGAAGGATATGCATTTTCACCTACAAAAAATGCCTGTACAGGTAATTATAACTTTTTAATTAATTATTCCTAGGAGAGATTTCAATTGTTAATTGGATTAAAATTTGTTTTCTAGACATTGACGAGTGTGCGGATAATCCCAGGATATGCTTGAATGGACGCTGCGTGAATACACCGGGTTCTTATCACTGCGTGTGTCAGCCTGGATTCACAGCTTCACGTGACAGCACATTCTGCGTTGACATGGATGAATGTACTGAGACCAGAATGTGCGACAATGGAAAATGCGTCAATAAGGAAGGTTCCTTCATATGCGTTTGCGATCCTGGATTCCGCCTTGGCCCGGACGAGAAGCACTGTATAGGTATATTGATAGCGATATAGTTTTATCAGTATTGACAAAAAAAAAAAAAAGAATTTTAATTAATTAAATCATCCAATTAACAGACATCGACGAGTGTCTAAGTGCACCCTGTCAAAATGGCAGATGCGAAAATACCCCCGGCAGTTTTTGTTGCAAGTGCAATTTAGGATTCAATTTGGGTCCAGACGGAAGATCCTGCTTGGGTAACAAAATACTTGATTTATTTTTTCAACTTTAATCATTAATTCTTTAATTCTTTTATACTTTAATCGATCAGACACCAGGAGGGACCTGTGTTACTCGCAGTACAGAGATGGACAGTGCTCCAATCCCACATCAACAGCAGTTACAAAATCCAGTTGTTGTTGTTGCACTGTCATTCTTGGTAAACCCATGGGATGGGGTAGCACCTGTCAGGCGTGTCCCATGCCGGGAACAACAGAATTCGATTCCCTGTGTCCACATGGATCTGGGATGACGTACAATGGAGATGGTGATTCAATTGAAAAAATTAATCAGTCGACAAAAAATGATAATAACTTTTTAACCAATTTGATTTTGACAGACATCAACGAGTGCGCTCAAAATCCAAATATTTGTATCAACGGTGGTTGCGAAAATCTCATGGGTACTTACCGTTGCATTTGCGACAGCGGATACGAAGTTGACGCCACCGGCAAAATTTGCAGCGATATCAATGAATGCGAATTGGAGGATTCGCTATGTAGCGGAGGACAGTGCCGTAACACGCCTGGTAGTTTTCAGGTATCGATATTACAAAATTTTGATTAATGTGCCGAATAGAGTCGTTGCCAAAAAATTGTTATATTATACAAAATATATTTTCAAAATAAATTTCAGTGCATCTGCCCGACTGGTACTAGACTGAATGCGCAAAATCAAATGTGCGAGGATGTAGACGACTGTGAAGAACTTGGACCGGATGCTTGTTTCAATGGGATATGTATAAACACACATGGTTCATACGTGTGCGAATGTGAACCGGGATATATACTTGATAACACAGGACACATATGCATAGGTGATTATTAAAAAAATTGTTCTAATCAATATTTATTCCTGATAACAGTAACAATGCTGTTTATTAAATTTATCCATTGTTTTTTCAGATAACAGAAAAGGGTCCTGCTGGACCAAAATGGTACATGGTCGTTGCGAAAATAATTTGCCAAGGTTAGCCTTGAAATCGGAATGCTGTTGTTCGGTGGGTCTGGCCTGGGGCAGCCCTTGCGAATTGTGCGATCATGTCCTGTGCGAATGTTCGAAGGGTTATGCAAAATTGGATGGAAAGTCTTGTGCAGATGTGAACGAGTGCGAATTAGACAGTGGAATTTGCAAGGGTGGCGGCACGTGCACCAACATTGACGGAAGTTACCGTTGCGAATGTCCACCTGGACTCACGTTGGACTCAACTCGTAATTATAAAAAAAAAATGTCGAAAAAATTGTTTAAACAATATAATTATTTAAATAACTTTCTTTAGAAACCGCCTGTATCGACAACAGACAAGAATCCTGTTACACCGAATACAGACACGGACAATGCCTGAATCCAATTGATGGAGCATTTTCAAAGTCCTTATGCTGCTGCGGAGTTGGACGTGCATGGGGCAGCGACAGGTGCGAGGTCTGCCCTAAGCCGGGCTCGCAACTGCACGAAGAATTGTGTCCGAAAGGTGACGGATTTACTGAGAAGAAGGACATAAACGAATGTACGGAATTTCCAGGCATATGCCTGAATGGCAGGTGCAGGAACACAATTGGTAGTTACAGCTGCAGGTGCAATCAGGGCTTTGCACTTGATGAGAATGGAATAAAATGCAACGGTAGGTGACACGCTTTATCAACTTACGGCTTGTACCATATTGGATAAAATAATTTTAAAAAAAAAATCAAAATGGTCTCTTCCCTATGTTCTGTGTTATTCATTCAGATATCGATGAATGCGAAATCATGCACGGCGTCTGTGGAAACGGGACCTGTCGCAATACGCCAGGAAATTTCCAGTGCGATTGCAATCCCGGTTACAGGAGTAGCGATATCATGAAAATATGCATGGGTAAGATGGATTGATAAGAGCCCCCCCCCCCCTGGGAATTACAAAATGGTGCGATAACAACCGGAAGGCCTCCATTAAATAAATCCATTTGATACTAATAATATCCTATACGCATCCTTGGAATTATTTTTCATCCTTTCAAAGTCCTTTGGGTTTCGTTAACATCTTATCGCTCTTTAATGTACGTAAATTTGATATTTTAGACGTTAACGAGTGCGAGGAAACTCCTGGATTGTGTAGAGGCGGTACTTGTTTAAATACTGACGGATCCTTCAAGTGCATCTGTCCTCCGGGACACGAATTGAGTCCTGACAAAGAATCCTGCAAGGATATCGACGAGTGTTCCAGGACCAGTGGTATCTGCTCGAACGGAGTCTGCGAGAATATGATGGGCACTTATCAGTGCATCTGCGACGATGGTTATCGGCAAACTGACCAGAAGTCGCATTGCGAAGATATCGACGAGTGCACAATCAATAACGGAGGATGCGAAGATATTTGCCTTAACACGCCAGGAAGTTTCTCCTGTTCCTGCAGGTGACCGATTAGACATACGATACATACAGTGGAGTTGAATATTTTTTAATCAATTATTTTTTACAGTACTGGATTTGCACTAAATTTAGACGGGAGGTCCTGTACGGACGTGGACGAGTGTAAGGAAAACCCGAGAATTTGCAACGGTGGAAAGTGCACGAATTTGCAGGGATTATACTCATGCATATGTACCGACGGATTGTTGCCTGGGAAGGACGGGACGTCCTGCATTGGTAAAATATGATATTTAGCAAGTTATAATTTTTTAAAATTAATTAATTAAATTTTTCATCAGACATCGACGAATGTGTAACGCAGCCTCACATATGCCAATACGGCGAGTGCTACAATACAATAGGCTCGTTCAACTGTCGCTGCGAGGAAGGATACTCGGTGAAACCGGACGGAGGTCCAGGATGCACCGACGATGACGAGTGCATGCTGAATGCATACACGTGCAGTGAGTTTGCGGACTGTCAAAACACTCAGGGCTCGTACGAGTGCACCTGCCGGAAGGGATTCGTGGGAAATGGCATCGATTGCAGAGATATCAACGAGTGCCTGACTAACAATGGCGGATGCGACGCCAATGCACAATGCATCAACACCGAAGGTTCATTCAAGGTATAAAAAGTCACATGCAACTGGCACAAAGAATGCAAGCGAAGTGCATTATTTTATTTTCATCTTATTCTTCATCAGTGCGTTTGCGATGCTGGATTCAGGGGCGACGGTTACAGCTGCAAGGACATCGACGAGTGCTCGAACGACAACACGCTCTGCGAGAATGGCCACTGCCTAAATTATCCAGGATCCTTCAGATGCGAGTGTGAAATGGGCTTTATACATCCTGACGAAAATAACGAGCAAGCTTGCATCGACATAAACGAGTGCGAGATGTTCAGCAACCTGTGCGTTTTTGGCAGGTGCGAAAATATCTTCGGCTTGTTCCATTGCGACTGCGATGAAGGTTACAGGCTTGACAGTTCCGGCGGAAATTGCACTGACATTGACGAATGCGAGAGTCCGCAGTCCTGCCAATACGGTAACTGTATAAACACGCAGGGCAAGTACCTGTGCGAGTGTCCCGACAATTACGACTTGGTAGAGGCGGGAAATGCCTGTGTCGGTGAGTCGAGATAAACTTACCAGATAAATATTTTTTATCTTTTTTTCTTCTTCTTCAAAACAAGATAATCTTCTTTGACTCGCAGACAGAAGGGAGTCTCTGTGCTTCACCGGATACGAATCTGGCAACTCGAGACCTCAATGTATCTTCGACATCTCATCCTCGGTCACCAAGGCCACCTGCTGCTGCAGCATTGGGAGCGCGTGGGGTAACAGGTGCGACGAGTGTCCTGACATTGGGACTAAGGAGTTCCAGGAGCTGTGCCCCGGTGGGTCTGGATACAGGCCCAATCTGACTACGGTTATCCTGGAGGACATTAACGAGTGCGAGGAGCTGGAGAACATTTGTCAGAACGGACATTGCACCAACACCTTTGGCAGTTTCATGTGCTCGTGTAACGAGGGCTTTGAGCTAGACGACACCAAGACCAATTGCATCGGTAAGTCCTGATTGGGATAATGAATTATTGACCCATTCGAAAAATGATCAATTACACGCAATACGTTATAGACGTGGACGAGTGCCTGTTGCATCCGCAAATATGTGGAGTCGGCTACTGCATAAATGATCAAGGAAAATATCACTGTGAGTGTCCGGAGGGATACATGGCGATGCCAGGAGGAAGTGAGTCACTCGATTATGGAAAAAAAAAAAAAAAAAAATTGATAACCGAATAAACCATTTTTATTCTAATATTTCCAGAAGAGTGTGTCGACATGAGAAAAGAATTGTGCTACCTGAGCTATCAGGCGGGAGAATGCACGGCACCTATGCTGCATCCGCAAACAAAGATGTTGTGTTGCTGTTCCATGGGGGCAGCATGGGGAAGTCCATGTGAAAAGTGTCCAGACGAGAGAAGCCGTGAGTACAAAGGTTCATAGTGCACAAGCATATATCCAAGGGTGACATATGTCTATGTAAAAAAAAATTTGGAGTTGCAGGAGACCATGAGATTCTATGTGGTATGGTGCCAGGTCAAATCAGAAACCCCATGACCAATCACAGCGAAGAGATAAACGAATGTGAACTGATGCCCACCATGTGCACCCATGGGAGGTGCGTAAACACACCTGGGAGCTTTGAGTGTCTTTGCGACGAGGGTTACGTCTATGACGAAGATTCGCACCAGTGCGTGGACGAGAACGAGTGCCTGCACGTGCCCAATCCGTGCCTTGGAAACGCACAGTGCGTCAATCAGCAGGGCAGCTTCGAGTGCCTCTGTCCAGCTGGTTATAAATTGGGTTTCAGTAGACGAGACTGCGTTGACATTAACGAGTGCTACGAGCGTGCTGGCGTCTGTAGCAACGGAGTCTGCAATAACTTACAGGGCAGCTTTCAGTGCGTCTGCCATCTTGGATTCACCTTGACGCGCGACAGAGACATGTGCGTCGACATTGACGAATGTCAACGTAATATAAATATATGCAATAATGGCACCTGCATCAACGCCTTAGGATCTTACAAGTGTCACTGTTACGATGGATTCAAACTAAGTCCCAATAACGATTGCGCTGGTCAGTGTTCTTGATTTTATTTTTTTTTTTCTTTAAATTGATGCTGAATGATGATTCTTCATTTTTTGTCTGAAAATTAATTTAGACGTGGACGAGTGCAAAATTATGCCGTTCCTATGCAGAAATGGGAGATGCAAGAATACTATTGGTTCTTTCAATTGCGAATGTGCCGAAGGTTACATATTGGCCCAGGATAGACAGCACTGTAGAGACATCGACGAATGTCACGAGGTAAAATACAATTGGTCGTTCTCTAATTAGCCGTTAACTATCAATTAAAAATGCGCATCTTCCTCTTAGACGCCAGGAGTGTGTCCGCCGCCTGGAAAATGTCAGAATCTCATGGGATCTTATATATGCAGTTGTCCACCGGGTTACGAATTGGACCACACGAGGAAGCGTTGCGTTGGTCAGTGTCGATAATTAATAATAAATCAATCACTTGGACGAGGATAATGACAGTTTGCTTTTTATCTTGAATTAGACGTGAACGAGTGCGTCGAGACGGAGGACATATGTGAAAATGGCAGATGCATAAATACCGAAGGCAGCGTCATCTGCGAATGTCCAGTAGGATTTAGATTGAGCGAGAAACCATATTCGATGCGATGCATCGATATACGGGAAGAGCAATGCTATGACGACTTCCGGCGCGGACGATGCCTCGCACCACGTCAAGGCAGCATGACCAAGAAGCACTGCTGCTGCACTATGGGAATGGCATGGGGTCGTTACTGCGAGCAGTGCCCATCAAAAGATAGCGGTACACATTTTAAATCTTGGATGCACAAGATCAATAATTGTGACAATTGAAAGTGCATCGGTTGGCATTAGGCATATTTTAATGTATTCCAGAGGAGTTCGAGAAACTCTGTCCCGAAGGATCCGGAAGGGATGATCTTGGAGTTGATCTTAACGAATGTTTATTCATGCCCGATGCATGTGCCGGTGGTGAATGCATCAACACTGACGGTTCATTCAGATGCGAATGTCCGCCCGGTTACGTACTAGATGAAACTGGGAAAAAGTGTGTCGACGACAATGAGTGCCTGAATGTGCAGAATATTTGCGGAAATGGCACATGCACCAACGTTGACGGAGGTTTTGAGTGTTCTTGCAACGAAGGCTTTACATCTGGGGCTAATCAGGTTTGCGAGGATGTTGATGAATGTTTGGAATTGGGATATCAATGTGCATTCAGGTGTCGCAATGCACCTGGTTCGTTCAAGTGCACCTGTCCTTATGGGTACACTTTGGCTCCTGACGGACGTCATTGCATAGGTACATATTATATATTTGTTTAATATTTCCTTGTACGGTGATACAAGATGGAATTGCATAATGCATTTCATTGCACCTGCAGATGTTGACGAATGTGCAACTCCGGCGAACAAGTGCAAGTTCCAGTGCAAGAATACCATTGGCTCGTTCATGTGCAACTGTCCACCTGGTTATCAACAAATTGGCATGACTGACGAGTGCAAGGATGTCAACGAGTGCGCTGTCAATTCCGGCCTCTGTCGTAATGGTCGTTGTGTCAATTTAGAAGGAAGTTATCAGTGTCTGTGCTACGATGGCTTCGAAATAAGTCCTGACGGGAAATCGTGCATCGGTACAGCTTTTTTTTTTGAATTTGAAAATAAATTTTGAAGAATTTGAAAATAAACCAAAATTTTTCATCAATTTTTCAGACCGACGTGTCGGCTACTGCTTCCAGCAAACTATCGGTGGCAGATGCACAGCGAGAACGTCGGAATTGCGTACAGTTACTAAAGCGGATTGCTGCTGCACAATGGGTGCAGCTTGGGGATCGTATTGTGAAATTTGCCCAACGAGGGATTCCGAAAACTATAACGAATTGTGCCTGGACAAAGGATTTTCAATAAATGGTCAAGGTGAAGAAAAAAAATTTCGAAAAATTAATCTTCAATTAACTGATCATCTTTTAATCGTCTCACAGACATCGATGAGTGCAAGACAATTCCGGATCTCTGCAGAAACGGAATGTGCATCAATACTCTCGGCTCTTATAGATGCATCTGTAACAAGGGATACAAGGCTGACAAATCCGGCACTCATTGCATCGGTAATAGTCGAATAATCAATGCAGCTGCAAGTGCACGACTTCGTTAATACTATTTTATTTCAATTTATAATGATCTCTTTACGGAACTGCAGATGTGAACGAGTGCGAATTGACGGCGAAACCTTGCAAATACAATTGTCAGAATACCGAGGGCAGTTTCACCTGCTCCTGTCCAGTTGGTTTCATTCTGAATCCTGACGGTGTCAGCTGTCGCGATTTGGACGAATGTGCAACCGAAAATCATCTGTGTCAGCAGGAGTGCATAAACACCCCAGGAAGTTACACTTGCGGCTGCCGCGAAGGATATACGCAGCACGGAGACGCCTGTCGCGGTATATATAATTAATCAATACGAGAACTGGTACTGCGCTGCGTTGCATATTCAATTGCAGTATCCTTATTAAATATGCACTTTTGTGCATTGCATTCCTTTGACAGATATTAATGAATGCGAGCAATCCGGTACCTGTCCGAAGCCTGGAAAATGCATCAATACATTGGGAAGCTTCAGGTGCACCTGTCCCAGAGGATTTAAATTGGATCAAACCAAAATGTTCTGTACCGATAATAACGAATGTGCCGATGACGGAAACTGCGAGCACGGCTGTCAGGTATTGAAATTAATAATTAATAAACTCTGAAATATTTTTTATGAATTTTTAAAATTATTTTTTATCCTGCTTTTTGCAGAATTTAATGGGAAGCTATAGGTGCGGCTGTCCTGATGGGTTTGTGCAGCATCTTTATTACAACCAGTGCATCGATGAGAACGAATGCAATTCCTCTCCCTGCGGCGGGAATACTTGCATCAATACTATTGGCAGTTACAGATGCGGCTGTCCGGATGGTTATCAGTTTGATATCAGTTTGCAAATATGCGTTCAGGTAATAACGATTATAGATTCGATTGAAATAATGGATAAAAATGTATTTATAAAATTGCAAACTGCAATCAATATGCATTTTATTGATTTCAAAGACGTCGGCCGGCTGTACCGGAAGCCCATGCTCCTTTGGATGCACTCCTAATGGACCCAGTGGATTCATCTGTGGGTGTCCTTCAGGGTATCAACGAATTGGTCAGGTAATAATTCTTTAATACAACCATTGACCTGGATTGCATCGATTTAATATTTTCTATGTAATCTTTTTGTCATTAGGGACATTGTCTGTCTACCATCAACCCAATGGGACAAGGACCTTATGGGGACGATATTGGAAACGTTCCTACATTTCCCGTTAATCCTGATCCTTATTACCTTCCACCAGCCGACGACAAAGTCATTTCCACGGAAGGATGTTTCTCGTGCAAGGTAAAACTTACAAACTTTCAAAGACGCATTTCCATTTAAAAAAGTTAAATTTATTAATAATTCCGGAATATCGATTACAGATAAATGGACAAGGTCGTCACAGAAGAGGCGCCAGACTGAGATCCATATCAAGACAGAATAAAACTACCGACGCTTCGGGAACGGTTTTCTCAAAAAAATTGCAAAAATCATCTTCGAAAAGACGTTTGGTCCGTAAAGTCAAAAGACACCATCACGGCGAGGAGCACGTGCTGAAAATAAGTCTCCAGCAGACTAAACACCGTATGCGGATTATAAAATTGCAGCCAGCTGTCAAGGTGACTAATTATTATAAAAATATATAGATATAATAATATCGATTAATTAACATCACAAGTACTAATGACGTAGTTGAGAAAAAGAGAAGAAAAATTTCAAAATTAATTTCAACTACCTTTTATTTCAGCACAAGGAAATGGAGTATAAGGTGGTGCGTGGCAATGAGAATGAGCAATTCGAAATGGTGAAGAAGCACGGAGTCTGGGCGTTGCATTTTCGAAAAAGACTTAAAAAACCCGGCCAATTCAAAATTGAGATACACGGCCGGCCCGTGACCCACCCCGAGAACACGGATGAAGTTTGGGAGAAGCCATTAACATTCCGAGTGCATCTCGTAGTCACGGGGTAGGAAGAGAAGAGGAAAAGAAAACAAGAAAAAAAAAATCGCGAATGATTTAAGAAAATTTTTGAAAAATAATACACTATTCGATGTGCAAATTTTATTGATTCGTCATTTTTAGATTCAGAGAAAGGCAACTATCCCCTTGACCCAGCGTGTACCAATGTATATTGTTGTGAAGGTAAATTTTGAAGGAACTAAAAAAAGGGAAAATTTCAGAAAATCAGACAATTACACTGCCAATACCTATGGTTTATTGCTTGACACTGACGTTAACTAATTAAATGATAATTCATGAATAATAAACTGCCAATTATTCTTATCAAAACTGTCATATCAAAATTGCCTTATCTATTGCCTACTTATCTCGTTAAATTAGAATCATTGGCAATATATACGATTGACAGTAGTTTCGAAAACTGCCATTGCGTTACTGAAAATAGTGATAAAATAGTGTATACTGGGTCATCCAGCTGAAATACATGGGTCAGGTTTGACAAGATTCACATAATAATATAGGTCAATTGGTTGACTTTATTATACAAATAACAATATAGTCCCTGGCATAGCACAAGAACTTTTACAGAGGCGTCCTACCCATAGATTCGTTCGACTTGTTTATCTGTGTCTCTCGCACTCGCAGCAGATATAGCAACTTCGGAAAATCGAAACCCTCAGACCCAACTGAAATAGCTTTCGAGTTGACATCTCAAATCTCACTGTCTGTGACAGTAAGTTGTTGTCAAATATTTCTTAACCGGTACACGTGTGTGAGAGCTGTCAAACATGACTGGTGCAATCTGGGCTGATTGAAGGAAAGACGGTACGCGTGAATTTTGGAATATTAGTTATGTACAAAATAATATTAGGCTGTAGCGCAAGTGAATGAATTAATTAATAAAATAATAAATAAATATATCAGTAAATATATGAATATAAATATATGCACGCTATATATATACACACACACGTATTTATGTGCAAAACACGCGAATCCGTTTTTTTCTTTCTTATATCTTTCTTTTTACGATTATTTGACTTTGCGACATACGAGATAAAAAAATTATCAGTAGACGCCAAGTCTTATTTGTATTAAAAATGGAAAAGAAGAAATGAAAAATTATCTTACGCCATTCGATTTAACCTGTGCATGATTTTAATTAATTAATCGTCCTATATATCAATATCGATCTCATCGTCATCCATCATTGTCATTATCGTCATCGCGAATTGTTATCAATGAACAGTCATCAGTCACGAACTTCATTGTCGCCTAATAGAAATATCTATAAATATATTATAAATAAAAATATTTACACGCTATAAATGTATATTAATATTAATAACAAGTGTTCTTGTTCCCTCACGGGCTATTCGTCTAGCTAGACTAGAAAACTATATCACATTAATAAATTTACGTTAATTTATATGTAGCGTATGGCAATTAATTAAATAATTGATCAATTCATCCGTGCGATTAGTTATACGAATAAAAAAAATGCAATAAATTGATCAGTCAATCGAAGTATACCGGGCTACTGCAATTCCAAAAACAATAAAACATATACGCGCATAACATTAAATTGCCGACTCTAAATATTACGCTCATTAAATGTATATTTCGTTCTTTTTGAAAACTGCAAGTTTTCTGCACTTGAGTAAGACGCTTACCGTGCTTGTCCAATTAAGACTGTTAATTGGCTAATTAAGATAGTGGACGGGAATCGTTACCTCATCTACACTTTATACAGTATAAATTCTTTCAAAATTGCAAAAATTCTCAAAAGGCGTTGCTGCTACCGTTCAGCTACTTAACAGAACCTCAATTCGATAATTGTCTATGGCAAAAGTCTCTTCGATAGTTCATTGATTAGGGCATATATCGATTCCGATCAATAAGGCTGATTTTAATCAGTATCGCTTAATAGACACAAAATCCCTATCACGGATAAGAACAGCACTCTGATCTTTCGGCTTTCTCCCCTGTACTTATTGAAAATTTACTACAGTCAAGGAGTCCTGTTATCGTTAGGTCATATGTCCACAATATCGCCTATGAGACACAAAATGATAACGCTATTATATTACGATGATCGTACATCGTTAATACGATAAGAAATAGTAACATTACATTGTTCTTCAATAAAACCTCAATTCGATATTAATCTATGACAAAAGTCTCTTCAATAATTAATTGATTAGGACACATATCGATTCCGATCAATAGGGCTCTTTTTAATCAGTATCACCTAATAGGCACAGAAAATCCTTATCACGGATAAGAATAGCACTTTGATCTTTCGGCTTCCTCCAATGTATCTATTGAAAATTTACTACAGTTAAGGAGTCCTGTTATCGTTAGGTCATATGTCCACAGTATCGCCTATGAGACATCAAATGATAACGCTCTTAGATTAGGATGATCGTACATGGTTAATATGATAAGAAATATTCACATCAGATTGTTAAGAAGAACAGGCTACTTTACAGAACTTTCTCAAGCGTAATGACAGTCCCTGCTGTTCTCTCCTGAGCACCTGTAACGGGCGGCGCTTATCACTCGTAAAATTCAAAGTGAAAAAATGGAAGGGATAACCCAAGGTACGTACAGTGCAAAATTATTGGATCAAACGATTTTAAAAAAATGTGAGAATCTATTTAAAATTAACTTGATTGAAATTCTAGAGCAATTTGTACAGTGACCTCATGCTTTTTATATCTATGCACATACGAAAGGATATCAATAGTTTATACTGATAAGAAACTATTGGCACATTTGATGTCTTATATAAATTTCAAGTTTATCAGTTCCGTATTTTGAATATACATTTTTTTTTTCGACCACACGCACATACGCTCCCCACCCTCCCGCCCCATTTTGCAATAACGAACGCTTAAGAAATTCACACATGTTCCATACGGCCGTGCGTACAAAAGTGATATGCACTTGTGTTATCATTTTAATGTTTGTCTGTAATTTTTTATTATCAGCTTCCAGCACTTTTTATCGATTTCTTTCTCCATAGCCGCATATCCTCATTGCACTTTAGCAGTTAACCATTTCGATGCGTTGCGACTGATACTTTGAATTTATGAGCGGTTTTTGTTTTTTTTCTTTTCCGTCAATGATGGACCAAAGTAGCGTGACGATTGTAAAATACGAGGAATGTGACACGAAAGACGTGGAATCAGGTGAGAAATTACGAGCATATCGGGATCACGTATAATTTCATAAATTTCAAGAGTCCATTAAAGTTCTAAATAATGTAAACGAAGATAGTGAAGAGCGATCGAGGTTTATTACTAAAATATACGTGTACGGAAACCAATCAACGGTATTATAGTTCCATTTGCAAAAATTCATATTCACTTCTACCACGTGCGCCATTCTAATAGCGACGAGCGACTTGCAAATTTAAAACGTGACCCGACATAAGTTCGCAAAAGACGATAGTGGCTCCTTCTTGTTATTCGTAATATCGAAATCCGACTGCACTATCAAAGCTCGCGCCGTGAAAATCGGTCACGGTGAAAAATAGTTTGGCAAGAATGGTGGGAAGAGCGAATTTGACGCAAGGCGCCCAGAAAAACATTGGGTCTCCGCGTCATGGACTATAAAGTTGAATAATAACTATAATGACAACAAAGAAACGTCAGCTGTCATTTGCAGCGCGCAGAGGTAAAACGGGAGGAAATGAAAAAAGAGAAGAACGTCGACTTTCGCAATTTCAATTCCATTTCGAATAATTGTCATTCGATTGACATTTAGCGATAGGTGGCGATGTGCAAAATTGAAAAATCTAAATTCTGCCTAGGCAAACGACGGCGCATGGGCAGCAGCGGCGAGCGACGATCAATAGTAGCGCAACCACGTGTCTAAGCCGTCTTTTTCTATCAATGCGATACGGTATATTCTCTATTCCATGGGACTGTCAAACAGTCTAATTCCCTACACGACAGTCAATTAACGGATGCTGGAATTTCACGTGACTCTTAGCACGGGAATGTATCAAACGACGGCTACCGAATGCCGATAGATCAAGAGCCATTGTGTCACGCAGTTCGAATTAGTCAGCCATAAGATCGCGGGAGGTCGTTAGGATGATGTACCATTCGATTTAATTGAAGTTAGAGCTGAGAAATTATTGAAGTGGAATCAACAGTAAAATCTCTAAGTACTACAAATTTAACGTCTGACTTGACTCAGAAATGATCTACTGCTTGAGAAATTGTTGATTCGTAGGACATCGTGTAGGTATAACCTAGTAAAGTCAGCAAGTTCAGCCGAGTTACGCAGTGGGCGTAATTTCACAGTCTCCGGATGATTCCTTAGCATTTCCTCAATTTTGACCTAATTGCCAGTCGAGTTAACTTGTGACTGACTTTAGCAGTTAATATCAACTTAGCGCTTACGAACTTCCCGAGGAGACTGTTCAATCTGGTGTATTTTTGGAGTTCGCGGCAACACTAATTGTTTATCTCTCACCGGGTAGATTCGATTATGTTAATCGTCGATTTGCAGCCTTTGCAAAATTCAATGGAGTTACATGAAACGTAGTTATAGTTCGGTTCCGCGTGGATCATGAGATAAACAAAAAATCTAGTTTCTATATTAGTTTTTACTCGAAGCCAGCAAAAAATAAGGCCCGGTTCTATCGAGTCGCCGGTGGAGTTCGGTTACGGATACAGGGGACTCGATTACACGGATATAGAGTGCATCGATGGCCCCGCGTTACTTAGTCAAGACGACGTCTGTAGCTGCATAGATATATGCAGCTACCCATAACGAAGGTATCTAACTGCCATTCGAGAAGGTCGAAGGTCACTCACTATCCAGTGTCGTACTTGAACTTATTCCTGCGGCCCACCTTCAATGAAACCTGAACGTGGCTCACATGGCCGGAGGAGTTGTTTGGCCGAACGCGGCAGGAATGTGAAATATAGCTAACTGACGTTACGCAACAAAGGACTCGTCGAGACCGTAGAGACGGTAGAGACGGTAGAGACCGTAGACGGCGCCTCCGACCCGGTTTCATCCAGGAAGTCTCATTCTACTCTTTCGAGTCACTATTGGCTGTCATCTGTCCTAGAGAACGAAGCTAGCGCATTCAGAAATTTTCCTACTGTAGGAGACGAAAGCTGCAAATTGCATTTCCTTTGCATAAACTATTTTACTAATCATAAAACTCTGGAAATAGGTCACGATATTGATGTGTTCAAAAGGTAAGGGAAAAAATCAAACATTTTCTTTCTCACTCGTACTTCACCATTCGTATGTACAGCGTAACTGCTGTTTTCGAACTTTTAAGCGAATTCAAAAAATGAAATATACCTTCGACTTTATATGACTTGGGATACTGATTGCAGAAATAAGGGAGTAGTAGATACCTTTGATAAACTTTGTAATCACAAGTTCAAATTAGATATTATTTTTTGGTTTTGCAAATAATTTTCTTTTTTTTTGCAATTCAGCCCTTTGCTGCTCAACGCATTTTCATTGCATCAAGTTGTAGATAGATCTTTTTTTTTGCCTTTTTAATCATATCTTCGACTTATCTCTTCGTAGGGCGGCTAATATAGCATACACTTTTTACTATACGCATAAACTTTTGATAGATTTCTATTGTCCTAATTCTAGCATGATATTTTGCTATCTGTGCTGAGCATCCTCGCCCGCTCCAGAATCTGGTCCTTGACGTTAAAGATTCGTGCATATACGAGTTAAAAAAGATTTTTAAAAGAAAAAATTAATTCAATGACCAATCATCACAAATTATCCAACATCCTTCAAATTATTTGGACAATCTAGATTCTAGATATAATTACATTCTTTTCCTCAGTCACTCGCATATAATTCGCAAACTCGCAAACTCGCATAATTATCTGCCGTCAGTCATTAGTGTATCTCGTACCAAGTATAAGGTACGAAAACACATGGTTGATATTGAATTTAAAGGAAAAGCAATTCAAACAATAACCACATTGACTAGAAGCCAGTTTGTATAAACTCTATTTAGATTCTATACAACGTGCTAGTTTCGCTAGGAAATTTAATATTTACCATGTATTCAACCCACCGCATGCTGGGAACATATGAGAAAATTAAATTCGTTAGAAACTTGTCCGGGCGAAGTGGTTTGATCAACCATTAGATTTGCTACGAGAACACGTGTACCGAGCAGTGAGGAGTTACGCTGCTAGAGTGAATAGAATAAGGAAAACAAAAAAAAAAAAAAACTAAAGAGCCGCACCTCTGATTATACCACCTCTCCATAATAAAATTCTACTGAAGCCGCTGATGTTCACCAATAGATAATAAATATATTCATATATATGTATACATTGTACATATAGTTTCCTGAGATTTCAATCAGTAGATTAATCGTTCCTATACCCATATAGTTATCCGTGACTACGACTGATGTATTAGAATTTTTTTGTCCGTCTCCGCCAAACAAGGTCGACGTCTGCGAGGCTTTAAGAAATTTCGAATGGAACCGTCAGCCAATCGGGACGTTCCTACGAGGCGATTTCCCTGCGAAATTGAACCCCCACCCACCCTGCGAGCACACAGGGAATGTTTATTGCGAATCGGGAACCGTGACCGCATAACGCGCGGATTTCGCTAGGAAGTATTTATTGTCACTAGAAACGCCGCGCGTTAAAGATCAAAAGAGAGCCAGTGATTGATTTTCATATCTTTTTTGTTTCTCTTTTACGTTTTCGTTATAACTTGCAAAAAAACTAAAATATCATAAACGCAATTCAGACTGCGAGGATTTAAACATTTTTTTTTTTTTAATGTGTAATCCTCTCGTTCCTTTACTATTGCTGCTTTGATATTTTTAATTTTCATTTCTCTCCACTGTATTTTTACATAATCCTCGAATCAGTGCGTAGCGGGTGTGTGATTCGACTAGCTTGTATAATTATTCAACCATATTATAAGCGATTCAATCGATAATCAGCTTTACGGGAATTTACTAAGTAGGATAAACGCGGTACGTGTTGTATGTGTTGGCAAATATTTTTATTTTCACAAATATATCAAAGCTCTTAATCACCTAATAATCAATATACTAAAGTGCGATGAGTGAAAGGCAATAATAAATCTTAAAGTCGGTCCGATATTTTCCCCTTAATATTGATAACTTAAAATATAAATCGAACAAAGCTGAGATTAATTTATAAAAATAGCCCAAGATTAAGCCTACTGGGTCGTTAGAGAAATCCATTGAGAGTCGTGAAAATATTTAATGGAGATAGTCTCGATCGCTATCAGCAATTTACTTCTGTTACGTATGAAATTAAAAGCTCGTTACAACAATGTATCAAATTTGGGAAAATAACAGTGTCGAATTATCTGAAATTCTATCGACGGCCTCCATTGTCAATAGATTGCTGTCAATTACTTAACATCAATCAGCGTCCGTTGACTAATAGCATATCATCTGCCTGCACACGAGTGACCTTCGAGATGCAATTCCCTTGCAGATTGGGCACTCAAATGCAATTATCGTTGAAGTGCATCTCCATAGTAGCATGGCCATTCATTACGGGAAATCCAATTATTTAACAGGCAGGAATCAATCTACAGTTTAATCAACGCTCATTACCACAGGAGAATGCGAATGGCATGTTTCATTACGTAACACAGGCATAAATTATATACGGAGACAAACGCATACAACCCTGCGTACCTCTTACTCTAAAACCACTTACTGGGTTATCATTGGCACTTGCCGTTATTCAAGAACATTCAAGCTGCCTTAGAATAGAATAGCGCTTACAAAAAAAAAAAACTGAAAACGATACCAGAAGGCATTCATTGATTTGCAGGCGGTGCGGAATTCTTTTTTATTTCATTTTTAGCCAATTAAATACGAAATTTCCAAACAAGAGTTGCACGGCGGATGCTTGTTTGGCTTTTGCACAATTATATGGGAGCTCATTGTAGCAGCTTTACAAACTGCATTTAAATATAGATATCATTAGCGTCGCTTCACTATTGCTGAGTCAAACTCAGCGTTGCATCTCACGAGATGCAGTTGCTCCTTGCAGTAGAGCTTAATCAGTATAATTGGATGGGAATAACAATAACATTTCAACTACGCGCAGCGACTCTACTGGTATACAATAAAAGAGCGCCAGAGTATTCTTACTGATTAAATTAATAAGGTCACGATTTTTATAATAATATATTGAAAGGAGGATATTCCCCGTTTCCAGACATTTATTTTACTTCGTGTTAACTATACGTGCTCGTGTTCTGTATTACAATATCTACGCACGCATACGACACGTCACGTGACCGCTTGTTACCACATCCTGTGTGTATTTGTGAATCTAAGAAATCGCAAGAGTGTTACCGTGCGTGGGCAATTTTAATTCGACGACAAGATAACGAAAATAAGGACCAGTTGGACGTGAGAAGATTAGAGACTAAAAGAGTAAAAGGAGAAGAAGGAAAATTCTTCCTTACAGAAATTCGTATGAAAGAAGAAAGACACGTGATAGCTTTCATATAGGATATGCACTGAACGTTTATTCGAATTAACCGATTTCAATTAATATGGTGAAAAAATCATTAGCCATCACTTCGCCGAAGAAGGACGAGCTTAGCGTCGAGGAGCAGGTTGCCAGGAAGACGAGATGGCGAAATTTACTGGCTTTTTGGATGCTTGGATTGTGCAACAATTATGGCTACGTGGTGATGCTCAGCGCTGCTCATGACATACTCGAGAGCAAATTCGGAACGATGGTAAGTCGCTTACTGATTCTCGCGAGATATATCTTGAAAATATTGTACTTTGGTAACTTAGCAAGTGTCTCGTATATACTATTCAAAGTCGCATTTCCTAGTGCACCGCAGCACTGATTGTCAGCATCCTCGATAAAGCCTGAACCTTGACACACTAAAGAGTCCAGATAAGACGGCTGAGGTGTCAGGTAAAGTTCGATGAAGCGCGTCGCGGTTGTTTCTCTTAAGTAGAAACAACTGGATGAACAATAAGATCAGTGAACAATCAAATGAAATAACATTAGACGCGATAACGTCATTGAGTCTATTATCGTTCTACAGTATCACTGTGGTTCACTGGACAGTGTTTGGACGCAATGAAATAATATCTAATGTCTTATCATTACTTTATCGTAATATTATTTTATAGGATTCAGATAACTCCGATAGTAGCGACGCCACTGGTAACTCGACGTCAACTCGTTCTTGCAACTCGCTGTCAACAGGTGCCATCTTATTGGCAGACATTCTGCCAGCATTGGCAATTAAGTTGACAGCGCCATTCCTGCCATTCGTCGTGCAGTGAGTATGGACCAATCATGCAATTCCGAAATATTAAACAATCCTCGATGCTTCGTATGATTCTTGTGTTGGTTCTCGATGGTTCCTTGGAGACTTAAAGAAAAATGTTTTATTTCTCAGTGCACGACTGGCAGGTTGCGTTGCCTTGTCCATGGCCGGTTTTCTTTTTGTTTCGCTGAGCAATGCGAAATGGATGGCCATATTGGGCGTTGTGGTCACTTCAATTTCGTCCGGATTAGGCGAAGTAACGTTACTTGGTTACAGTCATCAATATACCAAGTGAGTAGTAGAATTTCGATGATAACGATGACCCGACTATGTGGAGAGCACTGTGTAGAAATGTTAAAAGTATCAGGCATAATAATATCGAGTACAGAGAGTATTAAAGGATTAATATCAGCTGATGTTGAAATTTTGAAAATAAATAATTTATCGTATGGATTATCTACTTTACTCAACAGGCAAGTCATCTCCACGTGGTCCTCTGGCACTGGAGGTGCTGGAATTGTCGGTGCAGTTTCATATGCGGGTCTCACTACTTGGATGAGTACTGAGGACACGTTGCTGGTAATGTTGGTGGTACCAGTAGTGCAGGCAGTTACGTTTTGGCTGATTCTGGTGCATCCTAAAAACATCCCAATACCAATCACCAAAGAAGCTACTGAAAGTCAAGAAATGATAATGGATACGCCAATTCAGAATTTCCGTGAGAAAATGAGAATTGTTCCTCGACTTTTCAAGTACATGATTCCTATTGGATTGGTGTACCTGTTCGAATACTTTATCAATCAGGGATTGGTGAGTTCATCGACATACCGTATATAGATCCGATTGCAGCTGTAACCGAGGAGACAAATTGAAGAATGTTGAAGAATGCTGAGGAACGTAGATTCCTGCGTTATGTTTTTGCACTTAGACTGCTCACATGAGATGCTGCGAGATGCTGATTTGATTATTGGGATAAAATTTTGCAAAATTTCTTGTTATTGCTTTGAACATAAATATGAGGATTGTGGAATTTCGAAGTGGTCGAACGCGCCGTGGTCGTGAAATTCTATTAGCACGTGAACGAGCAGACAAAAATCCATCGAAGAAAGTCAAAGTAGTGTTTATTTGCGAAATTCACATTTTGAAAAGATCTTCATAAAAAGTACATAAACGCGTGCCGAAATCTCGGGAATAAATTGCCTTTTCAAAAATTAATATTCGAAGTGGCTTCGAACGTAAAAAGAAGAAAAGGAAAACAAGCAAATATCATGCGAGGAGAATTCGTTGATTTTAAAAACTATTTCGGAGAAAATATCGTCACTCTTAGCAATTCCAATGAGACATTTGAACTAGCCATTTTTATGAGCAATTCCATCAGCAATGCCCGTATTTGTCGACATTAAGTATACGTGATTTGAAAAGTATCATGTTCTGAAGTTGAAAAATTATATTTTGATTTTCAGTTCGAACTGATTGAATTCGATGGCATCTGGTTGACTCATGCTCAACAATACAGGTGGTTACAGGTCGATTATCAGATAGGCGTTTTTATTTCTCGATCATCGGTTAACTTGATAACCATCAACAAAATCTGGCTGATGGCTGTACTCCAGGTAATTATCAGCCGATCTATTGACATTCCTTTAAATATCATTTACATTAATTATATTGATTATTTTCAGTTCTTAAATGTCATCGTATTGACTTTTGAGACACTTTTCTACTACATTCCAAATATATGGATAGTCTTTGCAATTGTCCTATGGGAGGGTTTATTGGGAGGTGGTGCCTACGTCAATACTTTCTATAAAATGTCAAAAGAGGTGAGTGAGGCACATTTATTTTTACAAGATTCTATCTGTTTTGTATTACATACAATGCCTTAATATTTTCTGTCCTATTTTATCAGGTGCCGCAAGAGGAAAGAGAATTTTCCTTAGGAATGACGACGATGGCCGACTCTCTTGGAATCGCACTGGCCGGCTGGTTATCCATGCCCGTGCATAACGCTATTTGTAAACTACCACAACCAGTTCGATTAGGCAGCTAATTCATTATTTATTCAATAATAGGGGAGACCTCGTTAGGCCTCGCTAATTTCGGGTACTGTGTACCGCAGAGTACTTGTCTTATGAGTAAATGAAATTTACCTAGCGATATAATTGCATCGAGACGAATTACCGTTTATTATGTTTATAGGTAGTGTCGAAATTTGATACCTTGATGGAGTTTTCTTTCTTTTTCTTTTCCTTTAAACTTTTTCTCAAAGTACAAAGTATATTTATATGTCAATGATGTGCACAACACAGGTGACACTCCAGTGTACTATTGTTACAGTATGTATTAAGTAGTTTCTCTTGAAATGCTTAAACTGTAGCATAAACTATGAATTCATAAAGAAACAAATCTGATTATGCCTTTGGACCAATTGCCATCAGGAATTGGTCAGTCGATTTGTATCATAAGTTATGTCAATTATGAATAATTATACAAGATTATTTTCGTTTTTCGAAATAGCTCCCACTTGGAAAGCACGAAGATTTACTTATCGCACTGCTTTTTGTTTCTCTTCTATGCGACAATGTGGGTAACCAGCCATATTAATTGACTTTGTTTTGCGTTCAATAAAATATTTCGTATTGTTTACTGCTAATCTTATAAAACAGACTACAAAAATAGGGTAACTTACCCTATTAGTTCCTGCAGATAAAAACTGTAATATAAAAATTGTACTTTTCAACGGTTTACGCAATTTATGTGGTATCGGAAGCCCGTAAACGAAGTAGCATATTCCTTTGTATTAAATTTCACACTTACGTTACATCTTAAATTTCCATCATGAAAGAAATCTTGGTAGATTAATTCACTTAAACTTAAATTATATCCTTATTATTGTCGAAGAAACATCACTTATTTAACAATTACGTTTGTCTTGAATACGACGCAGACGCCTTAAATGTCGTAACAGAGTGCAGCACTGTCGAACAAATTCTACAGTTGCGAATAATCACGAGTGACATTTTTATTTAATTACAATCATGGCTGACACGTTGGAAAATATAAATCCGAAACTATATAAGAAAATAGACGATAGGCAGGTAACTGCTGATGATGAAAACGAGGATATCGTTGATGAATTTGATTCTCGAGAAATATTTGGTAAGTATAACCTGATTTTGTCATATTTAAATTTTATTATTGGATAATTGTACATGTTGCATTTATGATAACTAATTTTCAGACTTAATTAGAAACATTAATGATCCTGAACATCCACTCACTTTGGAAGAATTAAATATCGTTGAACAGAGTCTTATAGAGGTAACAATATATTAACATTTTATAAATGTTTATGCTGATGTTATCAAAGACTGTATTTGTTATGATGATATTTTAGGTGGACAACGAAAAGAATAAAATCAATGTGCAGTTTACACCTACCATTCCACATTGTAGTATGGTAACTCTGATAGGTTTATCGATATGTACCCAACTTTTGAGAGCATTGCCAGCACGATTTAAAATCAATGTACAAATTAAACCTGGTACGCACAGTTCTGAATCGGCTGTCAATAAACAACTAGCTGACAAGGAAAGAATTGCAGCTGCATTGGAAAATGGGTATCTTGTAGAGGTTATTAATCAATGTGTATTTATTAAGTAAAAGAACATGTAATGAGAACTTGTAAATAATAATTGGTAATATTATATCTGGATTCAAAATAGAAAATATTTTGGTAATCAAACAATGTTAAACAGTCACTGTATGTATTAAATACTATATATTACATGATTTATTTACAATACACTGGTTATCTTTTTTTTGTCAAGATAGCAGCACTATTAGTACTATTTTTATTTGTTGGATCATAAGGATAAGTTTTGACGATTGGCCCTCTTCCTGCCTTTTGAAATTCTATTTCATCAACACGCGCTCGTTCATTCAATTGTCTTGATATTTTCATGTTGGTCCATGCTGTAAAGGTGTGTGTATATACATATAATTATAAAACAAGGGAATTATAATTAGTTAAGTCAGTACTAACATTCCTTGAACCCTTTGACGAAACCTTTGTTTGCAGGTAATTTGGATTTATCATGTGTAATCATAGCATCAATTTTAAAATAGTTTCTCACTTTTGGTATTTTGAGTATACCAACTTGTATAAGAGATATAAAGTTTGTAGATACCCAGTAACACAAAATTGCCTGAAATTTTTAAAACATTAATACATCTGATAATGATATTAAAAATTACATAGATATACTGTGTATAATTACCCCAGGAAAATTAATTGTGAATGGAAGAATACACAATGGAACTAGTCGTAAAACATATCTGAACATTCCAAATTGCTCTAGTTTGGCACTATCAGTGCCTAATTCTATGGTCACCCATAATGTAGCAGAAGTAATAATAGGTAGAATATATAACGGATCAGGTACAGTAAGATCTGTGAACCACCATAAACCACCATCTCGCATGCTTTCAATAGGCACATTTGTCATTTTGCGTAATCCCATGAAGAACGAGAGGAAAATTGGTGCCTAAATGTGTAAATATTCCAACAATTAAACTGCATATTTATATATACTTGACTAATTATTTAACTGACTGTACCTGTGCAACTGGTACAATCATATTTTTAAGAGGGTTAAGGTCCTTTTGCTTCATGAATAGTAGTAATTCTTGTGCGTACCGTGCAGCTGAAATATAATTACCAATTAAGGATACTATTGACTTTAATGACATTCTTTGCCACCATCAACATTTGACGTATATACTTATTCCGTCACCTTCAATTTGATTTCCTGATTGCCTGGCTTCAGTCAGTTTCATTTGTAAATGTTGCATTTGTGGCAAATAGTTGTTCATCTTTGCTGCATTTTTTTGTGACAATATAACCAGAGGGAAAAGTAATATTCTGACACATACAGTTCCTATAATAGAATGCTACCTGAAGTTCCATAACATAATACTGAATATTCATTCCAATTTGTCAATCATACCAACAACAATAGCAGCCCACCAAGGGAGATCGCATCCTATGTGGAGAAATTGCAAACATTGTTGCACCATACCAACTGGTGTATAACCACCCAGTCCTATACTACTAAGTGATGGTTCACCAACAGAAGTAATTACTTCTGAGACATCATTCATCAAAGTATTTGGTACAGGTGCATCTAAAAACAACAGTTATAGCATGACATAATACTATATAAAAGGATATAAAAACTAATTGATAGATGTTATAAAAGCAGTAATATGTGATACCAGGTATCTGATCCAGTGGATTTATTGCAGGTACACTTTGAACAGATGCATTTTCAGAACTTGCATGTCGCACAAAGGCTGCACCTAGTATAGGATTCTGTTTTGAAATTGTAAGTACTCGAAAAGTCTTCACTGATCCACTTCCAATCTGACAACTCAGGTGCATGGATCGGTTAGTCAGTATTTTCTGGAATAACGTATAACTTTTTTCGTTTATTTCTATTACTAAAGAACTGTACTTTTAAGGGAAACCGGATAACCTAATACCTAACCCTTGGTAGCCAAAACAACCTGACTCACCTGTTTGACATTATTGGTTGTGCATAAAATCCGATAATTAGTGTACAGCGAGAATCTGGAGAACATTTTTAGACGTTGCTCAATAATCTCTTTATTATTGTTAAAGTCAGTCGCGTTTTCTATAATGTACAATCCACTCAAACGCAACGAGTATTCAGTCGAAGTGGACGCACATTTTCATGAATTACGTCACGGTACAACACTATGTTATCATGTGAGGTATGATCACAAATATATCTATAGCCGGTAAAAAAATAACAACCAAGATGAAGTTTCTAAAATTATCCGATAGATAACAAAACATGTGTTATCTACGATATGCTAGAGCTGCTTTACCATACCAACAGTAGGCATATTTACATATGGTAATCACCATGAAACACAGTTAGTAAAATTAAAAGTTTTATCGGCATCGAAAAGATGGAGATTTACCAAATTCCGATATCATTAATATTTGTATGATTTCCTAAAAATCTTATTCCAGCCTCTAAATAATTAACTTTCAGACACTCTTGCTTAACAGGAAAACCCGCATGCACGAAGAAATCCCCATTACTAGCAGGGTAGTGTCTTTAGTGACTGCATCTATATCATTTAAATTCGTACCAGTAAAGTGCTGCCCTCATTGTCTAAATTATTCATACAGTAGCCACAATAGATCTTTAACTCTTTCACAGATCGTACATTGTTGCCTCGCACGTGAAGTCTATAAATAATAAAACATCCGAACGTACGCATCATCAGAATAAGTTTATCATACGGATGAAGAAATTAATTAACACCATGAAATCGAGATAAAAATGCATAAAGAGCCAGAACGGCTCTTTCCGTAACGAATAGCAATTTAATTGGCCAAAGCAGAGATGCATTCCATTTGAAAAATAATTCCATTTAATTAACGTCAATCCTTTCCCCCTCCCCGCCTGTTCCTCCCATAACGTATCCATTTTCTACATTTGTTTTTTACACCGCACCACCGCTCCAGCATCATACTGGCGGCAATGGCAGGTATAGGCGATGGATACATGATTTCTCTGGAACATCGGACGTCCGATAAATAACAATAATCAGTTCGTCACAGGAATAGAACAACAGCGGCAACCGTAATCTCCAGTGCTGGTCAGGCCCCCTTGAGACCCATAATTCCAGGACGGTTACGGGGGCTCCCGCGCTTTATTTCGTAATGAATATAATTATTGAGCGGGTTAGATAGGGCCCCGCTAGGTGGGAGATACATAATGACCAAGCGGGCCAACGGTTGGGGCCCCTCGCGCCAATAAGATGAGTTTGAATTTCATTTCTCGGGCCCCAAACGAACGGTAGAAAATTGTACGACGGGGACCGCCGATATGTATTCGTGCTCTGTGTACATAACGAATATCCTGGCATCCAACTTCACTTCCAACTTCATCCAAGTATCCGTCAAATATCTTGGGACTTTCTCGACGCGTCTTTTATTAAACTGCCCAGACCCGTCGCATCGACTACAATTTTTATCCCGATATCAAATTCGTATTTAGCAAGGGGACATAGGAGGATCGTCCAGTCGGATCGTTTAGGGATGCTAAATCCTGTATAAAAACAATCAAATCATTTATAGCTAATAAATATCGAAGACATGCTTTTTTCAGTAGTAGAAGTTAACGACTTTATAGCATCCCGGTACGGCAATAGATTATTCGGCTGTATACGTGTATCGCTGCCTCTTGGCAATGTACCCACCCGTGTCCCGCGTGCATATGGGTGGCGCGCCTGCGCCTGCGCCTGCGCATGCGCGCAACGAAACCCACTGTAGCTGAATTATCATAATCCCGTGTGTGGAGGGATATTACATAAACATCCACGAGCGACCGTAAAACGCAGCGCGGATGCATAAAAAGATGAGGGTGCAATGAAGTGGACATAATTCGAGGCCCGATAACGTTCACTGCGAGTCTCTCTGGTGTTTTCCTCTCTCCTTTCTTTTTTATGTTTCGTGCTTTGCCTTTCTTTTATTTTCTCTCGTCCTTCTCTCAAAAAGACAAGCCGACCGAGATTCTCGGTGGTCGTCTATGGCTCTGGACCGAGAGGCGACCGAGAGGCGACCGAGAGGCAGGTCTGCGCGAACGTAGCTTCTGGCTCGAG